ATGGACATTGTTGAATACATATATATTAATTTCGTAATTGTTGAATACATATATATTAATTTCGTAATTGTTTATCTCCATAATGTAGCAATACCATCAATTCAGTCTGACAATCCAGCACCTGCGCAGTGGTTTCCCCTTGTCAGTGATGCAGGACGGAGGGCCTGACAAGGACAGCTATCTAGTCATTTGGATGTGACGAAAAACCGAGGTCCTGTGTATACATTGCTGTGCATGTAAAAAAAACCTTGGCAATTGGAATTCAATATAAGAGTAGGCCATAGCACTTTTAATTTCAATATTTTTCTTTATCTCATTAAAATGGTATTTTGTTATTTTGTTTGTAGTAGCTGCTCGGATTGCAAGTTTCTCCAATAAACTGATAGTACCATGGCATCAGACCACAACATTTCCTTGTTTAGCTGTTGGTGATCCACAACCTACTGTACAGTGGAAACTCAGGTATGTTTTATATCCAACAGGTGCTACAGAGGCTCAGTGAGTAGGATGTTGGCTTGCTAACGTGCAGGTCCCGTGTGCGTCAGGATTTTCCGGCGTCGTTCCTCCTTGTCAGGTGTAGGAGGGAGGGCATGGCCAGGGACAATGTATAGTTGTTCAGATGGGATGAAAAACCAACGTCCCATGTATACAATACAGTGTATTTAAAAGAACCCTTGACAGTTGGAATTCGATATAAGAGTAATCTGATCAAATCCTCCATACATTGTTTGCCATTTTCAGTTTCATATAGACTTTTGGATATCGGTCAAAACATTGTCTATAATGACTATATCAGCAAATACAATTATAATTTGTTAATTACATCTTGTAGCTTGTAGTAAATGATATATTTATGATAAATGTATAACATTTGTATCGAATAATAAAAAAATAAAAAAAAAAACCCCACAAAAAAACAATTATCGGCCGATATTGATGTTGTAACCAATTATCGGGTCATCTGTAATTGTTGATGTCATATAATATATTCTTATATGATAAAGTCATATATATTCTTAGATAGTGAAGACACATTTTTGTTTTTCAATAGGGGTCATCCTCTGAAGTCCAATGAACGTGTAAAGGTGTTAGAGAATGGTTCTTTACATATAAATGATGTCATTGGTACAGATGCAGCTAATTACACATGTGAAGCCAAAAATAAACATGGTTCGGATGTCGTTACGTATATATTACAAGTTCAAGGTGAGTTAAATAAAAAATGGAAAAAAAAAACCCTGACTTCACTTTAAAGATATTTCCTGAGTTTGAATCCTAATATATGCTGAGAAGAATGTCATGATTCTTCTAGCCTGGTTCACATTTCTCATGTATAGTACCTGCTTGGCTGACAAGTGCCACTGTCAGGACAAAATTCTCCTCTTTATCATGGTACACATGACCATAGAAAAGAGATGACCATATTTTAGTCTCCATTTCCAGTCTTTCTAAACCCTTTCACAAGAGATGAAAAACAGAGATCCACCCATGCAAAGATTAGTAGTGAATGGTAAAGATCCCCTAGCCTTTTCAGGCTAAATTATGGGTACAAAAAACTTTCTCCTTTTCACATTAGTTTGTTTAATTATTTCAACTCTACTAAGCCGAGTTTATATTTCTGACTATTTGAAAATACTGCATTTAGACAAAATAGCTGGATTTATATTTAGGTTAATCAGGATTCTTTTCCTATCAGAGGAAATGTATTTTAATGTTAATGCTAGGTTCCCACTATCACGATTCATGCTGCGATTCAAATCATGGAGTAATTGTTATGATCCTATCGGGTCTTATAATATATTGAGGCAGTCGTAGCAGTCGTGTTGATCATATCGAACGGATCTGCATGTACCGGATCATGGAGTCAATAGGGACAATCCTATCGTAACGCATCGCACAACGGTGAGAACCTAGCATTAAGAATTAAACCAGTCCCTATGTTTTATGTATTGTTACGACAACTAATTGTGATGTTATTGATATTATCTCTAGTTGGAGATCACACAGGGTGTAAGTACTAAATGTTAAAGCCTGTAACTTTATCATCATCACCATCATCATCATCATACACTGAGCAATAACCTTATCACCATCATTTTACATGTAGTAACAAGCTTTTCACCTTATTTTTAATGTTATACTAACCCAAATTATTCTACACATTTAGTAATTTAGTAAATTAGTTGAAATTAACAACCAATAAAAAGAACAACTTTTAATGATGGAATTAACAAATTTGACTAATGAAAGTAATCAAATTAGAAATTTAACTAATAAGGATAATAACTTGTACTAATAAAGATAACAACTTTTACTGATAAAACTAACAACTTTTACCAATAAAACGAACAACTTTTACCGATAAAACGAACAACCTTTACTAATAAAACTAACAACTTTTACTAATAAATTAACAACTTTACTAATAAATTAACAACTTTTACCGATAAAATTAACAACTTTTACCGATAAAATTAACAACTTTTACCGATAAAACTAACAACTTTTACTAATAAATTAACAACTTTACTAATAAATTAACAACTTTTACTAATAAATTAACAACTTATATTATTAATGATAAAATTAACAACTTTATAATAATAACATAATAATATTTTTTTTCTGTTTTTAATCATTTTACAAAATAGGAAACGTTTACTAATACATATATAATACCAATACAATCTTTATTATTTTTAACACTGCATGCTTTTGATATCCCAGCACATAACAATAATACCCAGCACATAAGAAGTACATAGCAAAAATACCCAGTTATCAGATAGAAGTACATGTATTACAATCGGTTTTGATCATTACAGTCACAAAGAAGAATCTATTTAATTAGACAATGACATTAAATAATTTAAAACAGTATATATCAGTTGACTGTGTGTAGTTTGTCAATGTAACACAGTGTTTTATGGTTGTATTTGATGGTCTGCTTTGGTTTTGTTATTATGACATTGTATTTGGACATTAAATGTTTCTCATCTATATGGGGATACTCAATTGAACGTTCCAGAATTAAATTCCCTCAATCCCCACTGATATTAATGAACAATTGAGTGGAAAAGGGGATTTTATGGCTGCAGGCATACATCCACTGAATAAGAAAATACCTCAATTAAATAATATGAAAAATAATGAGGTGTACCTATTTTTTTGTTACGTATGAATTTGAATATTTTGTTGACACATGATTTTTGTGTGTGGTCTAAAACTGCTTGCTTAAATACCGATAAGAGTTATGTCCTTTTATTTTCGGCAAAAATGTTTGACAAGAAATATTTTGAAATTTCAACACTAGCAACTAACCAACTCATGCTGGTTAATTACGTCGCAAGTCACATCTCTACCCACATTACCTCAGTTATCAGAACTGTAGCCGAACTGAATTGTTTTTGCTCGCTTGCATTTCCGAACATTCCAGACTAACAGTCGAGAATCCTCATTGTCTTGTGGTTTCAGTGATTAAATGTGCAGAATTATTTTAAACGTTTGTCGTATATTTATTCTACTTTTTTGGTCTCTTCTTTGTTACATCTTTTTTCATCAGCATCATAAAACAATTTAGTTCATTTTCCTTTATTTTTTTTTGTCTCTTTTTTTAAATCTTAAAGTTCTGTATTGAAAAAATATATTGAAAGGTATACTATAGTTTCATTATAAAAATACAGCGAATATTATATGTTATACATGTATATGAAAGCTGCTGATTGTGATTCACATTTTCTTCTACAATATGCAATTTTTCACTGCTTAATCCATGCAAAAATGTATTCAAATTGATTGTATAAGTTTTAATTAAGAAGTAGGTAACACTGTAATCCGGGTATCATTTATTTTTGTGTATTTAGCACTAATTTCTTTCACATTCATTCAATATCAAATCTGTGTTTAAAAATTCATAAAAATCGTTTAAAATCACCAAAAATCATCTAATTTGTACTTGTGTTCAATTTAATAATGAGTGTCCAATTTACAAGTGTTTAATTTCTCGAATTGCACACTCATTATCAAAATTAATCACTCAGTTTTAAACTGGACACAAATAGAAATTAGATGATTTTGGGAGATTTTTAATGATTTTTACAAATTTTTGATATTAAGCGAATTTGAGAGAAATTAGTGTTGGATACCCGGGTCACAGTGTAATCTCCCAGCTTGGATTCAGAAGTATTAAAAAGAGGCCCATCAAAAGATTCTACCCCAGACTTAAATGTGCTGCTGGCTTGTTTATATAGTCTGAAATGAATGTTGAATATTGTGAGATTTTTAATTCATCATGTTTTTGCAATTAATGAATGGTTTTGAGCCATTTTTGGACTGATATTCCTGTTAGAGATTCAACTTTAACAACCCCTAAAATGACTATCAGGGACTTAAGGTTAAATTGTTGAAATTCTAATTTTATGGAATATAAATTGACTAACAGATAATTTCTCGAGTTGGTCAAAGTCCCTCCAATGACTATCATCAGCAGCTTTAACTTTGCTGATAAATGAGAAGTGGTATCAGATGGTCTGTTCATGTTTGAATATTTGCAGCTCCTCCCCATAGGGCAAGGGTTAGGGGAAGAGGTCAAAAGCTGCATTAATAATATTTTAATGTTTGAATATTTGCATCTTCTCCTCGTGTCGCTAGTTTAAATGAAGAGGCCAAAAGTTGTGTTAATAATATTATAATGTTTGAATTTTTGCAGCTCCTCTGCATATCGCTAGGTCTAAAGCTGTGTTATTATATAATATCAGTTTAACTGGGATATCATTTATATATAATCTTGTGTATTTAGCACTTATTAAATGACACCCAAGTTATAGTGTATTATGACGTTTGAATATTTGCAGCTTCTCTCCATATCGCTAAATCAAAAGCTGTGTTATGATTATGTATATATAATATTATAATGTTTGAATATTTGCAGCTTCTCTCCATATCATTAGGTCTAAAGCTGTGTTATTATATATTATATTATAATGTTTGAATATTTTCAGCTCCTCCTCATACGGCCAGATTATACCTGGCTTTAACAACATCATCTACTATACAAGTGAACTGGTTATCAGGTAGTAATGGTGGCAGTCCTATACAAGGTTAATAATGGTTTATATATCTTAACTTATTAGGCGGTTAGATCTATTTCAAAAGGCTAACTTCATGTTTGGTCAAAGGCTACGAGATGTAAACAGGGCTAGCACTAATCCCAACCCTAACCCAAACCCAAGCCCTGGACATAGCCCTAACACCTACCCTAACCCTAACCTACAATCTCACCAACAATCTCGTGTCCTAACCTTTTTTACATCTCAGTGACCGTGACAAAAATCGAACTGGCCTTAGATCTAGCCATTATTAGACCCCAAAGAAATTACCTGTGTTTATGGTTACCTGTCTGACTCTTTTTTTTTTTTTTAGCCCAAATCACAGATCCTGAAATTGTTTTCTCATTTCCCAGGTCCTACCCAATCTTAACCCACAAACCCCTTGAAAAAAAAAAATAAAAAGATTTCCTGACTGCCCAAGCCTAGTTTTTCTGACCATGTAACCATAAACATGGGCGTTATATATCATTGGATTGACCCATAAAGATAAAATAGAAATTAGAAATCAACTTTTGAGATATTTTTTTCTTAGCTTTAATTTTAAAGTGAAAAAAAAATGCTATGAATGTGATATTCTTAAAAGGAGATTGTCTCCTTTTTTATACGCCCACATTGAAATGTGGTCGTATATTGTCTTATACGCCCACATTGAAATGTGGTCGTATATTGTCATCGCCCCCGTCCGTCCGTCCGTCCGGCGTCCACAATTGCTTGTGAACGCTCTAGAGGCTAAAGATAATATCCGATTGACTTTAAATTTATATACAGTGTTTAAGGCCATGGGACGAAGAAGCCTATTGATTTTCAGCGATTTCCGATAATTACTGCCAGAGTTATAACCCTTGATCACTTCAAAAAATCTTGTGGACGCTCTAGAGGCTAAAGTTAATATCCGGTTGACTTTAAATTTATACACAGTGTTTAAGGTCATGAGACGAAGAAGCCTATTGATTTTCAGCGATTTCCGATAATAACTGCCAGAGTTATGGCCCTAGATCACTTCAAAAAATCTTGTGGACGCTCTAGAGGCTAAAGTTAATATCCGATTGACTTTAAATTTATACACAGTGTTTAAGGTCATGAGGCGAAGAAGCCTATTGATTTTCAGCGATTTCCGATAATTACTGCCAGAGTTATGGCCCTTGATCACTTTGAAAAATCTTGTGGACGCTCTAGAGGGTAAAGTTAATATCTGATTGACTTTAAATTTATTCACAGTGTTTAAGGTCATGAGACGAAGAAGTCTAATCATTTTCAGCTATTTTGATAATTACTTCCAGAGTTATGGCCCTTGATCACTTTGAAAAATCTTGTGGACGCTCTAAAGGTCAAAGTTAATATCTGATCAACTTTAAATTTATGCACAGTGTTTAAGGTCATGAGACGAAGAAGCCTATTGATTTTCAACACTTTTCGATAGTTACTGCCAGAGTTATGGCCCTTGATCACTTCAAAAAATTATGTGGAAGCTCTAGAGGTCAAAGTTAATATCCGATTGACTTTAAATTTATACACAGTGTTTAAGGTCATGAGACGAAGAAGCCTGTTGATTTTCAGCGATTTCCGATAATTACAGCTAGAGTTATGGCCCTTGATGACTTTGAAAAATCTTGTGGACGCTCTAGAGGGTACAGTTAATATCCGATTGACTTTAAATTTATACACAGTGTTTAAGGTCATGAGACGAAGAATCCTATTGATTTTCAGCGATTTCTGATAATTACAGCTAGAGTTATGGCCCTTGATCACTTCAAAAAATCTTGTGGACGCTCTAGAGGGTAAAGTTAATATCCGATTGACTTTAAATTTATACACAGTGTTTAAGGTCATGAGACAAAGAATCCTATTGATTTTCAGCGATTTCCGATAACTTTTACCAGAGTTATGGCCCTTGATCACCTTGAAAACTCTTGTGGAAGCTCTAGAGGCTAAAGTTAATATCCGATTGACTTTAAATTTATACACAGTGTTTAAGGTCTTGAGACGAACAAGTTTATTGATTTTCAATGAATCTTTATGACTTGAACAGCTAAATCCATGATGTTAAAAGTTTTGTATGCTAAACGTTAGCATGGCGCAGAACTTTATAAAAACCAAACAAATTCTAATGGTTTTCTGATAATTACTTAATGAGTTGTTACTCTTAATCAGATTTTAATGTATTATAAATGTTTCATTACCGAAAAAAGTAAAAATATGCGACAACTCTTGTTGACTGCCCGGACGATATAGCTGCTGTGGGCGTATGTTTCGTTGCCTGGCAACCTATCTTGTAAACTTTGGAAGCCTTTTATTGCAATCCCGACTTTTTGCTCTGTCAACTTTGCGACTTTACGAATTTAAAAAGCAGGGAAAGTAATTTTTTTTGGATGTGTTGTGGAGGTTGCCTGATCTAACTTGTTTTGTATTGATTCATGTTCCAAATGTAGTAGGTTGGATGACCGAATGGTTAGCGCGTGCGCTTGGTATCATTAGGTCTGTCAGGGGGTCAACTGGCGTGGTTTTGATTCCCCGGCTGTACATGTTAAGGACGAGGGTCGTCTATCCAACCTCAAAGGTTTTCTCCAGGTTCTCCGGTTCTCTCCCACTGCTAAAGACTCCTACTCATAAGCAAATTATTGAAATAAAATCTGAACCATATATATATGTTAGTCCCAAAATGACCTAGTTTGTGTTGAGTGGATGTTAAATCCCATTTTTCTCTCCCTCTCTCCAAATGTAGTAACAGTAATTGATCATATTTTATTGTAGGATTTATATTAAATTATAAGAAGGAACATGGTTCGTGGCAAGAAGTTCGACTAGGTCCACAAAATAGAACATACATAGCAGCTAATCTACTCTGTGGAACATCGTATAAATTTAATATCCGAGCCTTTAATCGACTAGGTGAATCAAACATCAGTCAGCTAGTTACAGCGAAAACTAACGGTTCAGGTAAGATAGAAAAAATTGTATCCGTTGAGTCATAATTTCACCGGTCTGTTATAAAAGATACTGGATAATGATACATTCAACAATGTGATGAAATAAATCTAATGCCTTGAAATTTGATGTTTTGTGAGAAGTCTTGGCCGAGAAAGTTCATTGGGAATTAGCGATGTGGTTTCCCCTTGTCAGTGTGCGGGACGGAGGGTCTGAAAGGACAGTTGTCCAGTCGTTCCGACGAAAACCGAGGTCCCATATATACTTTGGCGTGCACGTAAAAGACCCCTTGGCAGTTGGAATTTGATATAAGAGTAGGCCATAGTGCCGCTGCCCGGGCAAAATTTCACTCATAGCACACTGTATGATATATGCCCGTCTTCATTAACCCAGTCAGATCAGAACAGTTGCATGTTAAACCCCATTTCATTTCATTTTTTGCAGTTTTAGGGTCGGGTTTATCTTGCATGGCACCCCTGGCTGAAACTGTCACTCCGGCCCTTGCATCAACAGGGGTCATTTTCTGGTCATGTTCTGTCACACTCATTCAAATGAAATTTGTTTGCAAGTGTGACAGATATTTAGATGTATCTGATAAAAACATATACAACTTAAACATACATTATGACAGAGCTAAAACTGCCCTTGTCATATTTTATGAGAAGTCATTTAGTCCTGTAGTGATCCTTTGACGAAATAAAAACACAAAAATAAAAACCTCTCCCTGCTCCGGGTCCTCTTGTTTCCATCCACTGCTAAAGACCCCTATGTGCAAGAGATTAGTTGAAATAAAATTGTTAGTCTCGAAATGATCTAGTTTGTGTTGAGTGGACGTTAAACCCCATTTCTCTCTCTCTCCCTGTGAACACGAATATTTTTTTGGGATGGCCTAGATGAATCTTGGTTTGCATAGATTAGTATGGACACAATAGGAGGACAACTCTGCTTGGAGGAATGGAATGATTGTATGTAGCTTATTTATTTTTTTAGTTCCGATCTTGCCACCACAGAATATGATATTGAAAGAAGAAAACACAACCTCTGTTGTCCTTGACCTTCATACTTGGGAGACGGCTGGTTGTCCTATCAGATTTTATTCTGTAAAATATCAAGTATTTAACGATGAAGTGTGGACGTTTGTCTCCAACTCTATCAAATATAACACGGTAAGTCATTTCTTTATTTCATATTGCAGCTGTGTCTAATCCAAGGCTCCTACTCCTAGCGAGCCACGGTTGCTCAGTGAGTAAGATGTTGGCTCGCTAACTTGGAAGTCCCGTGTTCGATCTTGATGTGGGCCGAGAAAGTTCATCTGGAATTTCTGGCGTGCTTCCCCCTTGTCAGTGGTGAAGGACAGAGTTGGCACTTTTTGGCACGTATTGCAATATAAGAGTAGGCCGTAGCATCACTGTCCATGCAATATTTCCCTCATAGCACACTGTATGGCATATGGCTGTCTTCATTAGCCCAGTCGGAACAGAACAGTAGGACGTTAAACGCCATTTCATTTCATTTTTCAATCAGACATTTTTGATGTCGATAACACTAAATAAGAGTAGAGCTGATGTTCAGGCACAATTTTTTCCTTGATGGCACTCAGACAACCTTCATTAGTCTGGTTGACCTGGCGCCTGGTACGTTCGCTGATTAACCCTTGTACCACGTCTACTGGTTGGTCCCAGAGAGTAAGATGGTAAACCCAATTTTATTTCATTTATTTTGATTGTACTTTATAATTAGGGGGGTTGGAAGGCCAAATGGTTAGCGCGTGTATCATAAGGTATGTCATTGAGTCAACTGGCGTGGTTTCAATTCCCCGCTTGTATGTGCCAAGGAGTAGGGTCGCCTCTCCAACCATGTGGGTTTCCTCCGGGTCCTTCGGTCTCCTCGCACTGCTAAAGACCCCTACACCCATTAAATAAATAAATTGATTTTGTATAATATTGTGATATTTCAGACATTATTTACTGTACAAGATTTACATCCTGCCACATGGTATGATATGGTTGTTACAGCTCACAGTGATGCTGGTTCTACAGAGAGTAAACTTAGATTCGCTACACTAACATATACAGGCAGTAAGTTACTATATAATATATAGATCCTATACAGGTAGTACGTTACTATATATCTCTCTATAATATATAGATTCTGGTGAAGGTACACTAATATACAGGCAGCAAGTTACTAAATGTCCCTATAATGTGTGGATTCTGGTAGAGGGTGGGAGTGAAGCACCCTAACATATACAAGCGCTAAGTTGCTATAATATTTTGTAATATGTAGACCCTGGCGGAGGAGGGAAGTGCGAAGGTACCCTAACATATACAGGTAGTAAGATATTATAACTATCTCTATAATATGTAGACCCTGGCAGACGATGGGGGGGGGGGGGGGCACTGTGTATCATAAAGCCTGTCATGAGTTTGGTCCCAAGCTTGTATGTGACAAGGAGCGACTGCCTACCCTAAGATCGTGAACTTTTTCCTTCCACTTTTAAAGACATATTCAAAAGGATGATGTGATTAAGTCAGTACTAGTAGAAGAAATAAAAACTTTGAATAACGTTTGGACCAATGTGCTTTTTAGTAAGACTACCTTTTAATATGTAGGATCAGAAAAGTCTTTATTTGTCTTTTAGTCTGGAATATTGAGTCTTTATAGATGAACTAATTTTGTGATATTATATTTATTACAGGTACAATATAGTTGTTAAATTATATTTATTACAGGTACAATATTACCTATAGTTGTTATATTATATTATATTTATTACAGGTACAATATTACCTATAGTTGTTATGCGTAAAGAAGAAAGTGAATTTTATGAGAATATATTTATAATGATACCACTGTGTGCTGGGTTGATTATATTAACAGTTGTTTTAGTTGGTTTGTTCCTCTTCTGTAGACGACGTAGACAAAGACTTAGATACAAAGGTAGAATATCTTCCTTGATAGGTATTTAGTAATTGAACATATTAACTTAAGGTACAATTTTATGGATACACAATTACTGAGTTTAATACTAAGCGATGTTTCGACGAGCATACGCTCCTCTTTATCAAGCAAATGATACAGGTATGTGAATAGTAGGCAAATATATACAGAATATGCAACAAAAATAACAATCAAATACAACTAAAACTTAACACCTTTGATTAGGGGCCCATTTACTCAGTAATTGAGTGTCCATAAAGGTAAAATACCGGCAATACTATATACCGGAAAACACCATTTTATACTGAATATAATCGGAATTTTGGGGGGGGGGGGCTATTTGTAAAACGAACATCGTAATGACCTTGACCTTCCTTCATCGGCGCTCACTTGGTCCAAAACCGCACACAGAGGACCAGGCTCCGGGTTACCTATTAAGGGTGTTTTCCGGTATTTAGGATGCTTTCCGGTATTTAGTGTTTTTCTGGTGTTTTCGGGTATTCAGTATAAAATGGTGTTTTCCAGTTGTTTTCCGGTGTTTTCTGGTTGTTTTCCGGTGTTTTCCGGTATATAGTATGGCCTGTAAAATACGTCACTTATATTACATAGAATTATATTATATTTGGAAATATGATATTTTGTGTATTTGTTGTTTTTAAATTTTTTTTTTCCCCCAAAGAAATGGGAAACAAAACTTTAGTTGGTGTTCCTGAAACACTAAAATTCAAATTTGTGTTCTCGACACAACACGGTGTGACCTAATATCTCTATTTTTACTTTCTTCCACAGAGCATGCTCCTAATTTGAGAAGAGATATAACTGCTGAGACATCGTTAATGAATGACCTTGATAAAAGGTTAAATGTCGATTTAGACAGTAGTAGTAGTACGCTACCAGAGTTCAGCAAACGTAATGTTAACTTGTTGATATCGTTACATTCGGATGATAATATTAACGGCAACAGTCAGTCGTGGTTGATAGACAGCAGTAAAACCAACAGTGACAATGGATCATTCTCTCGATCAGGTAACATGTTTTGCAGATTACAATAATTACTAAGCAACATTTCTTAGATTACAATAATTACTATGCAACTTTTCACAGATTACAAAAATTGTTTTGCAACATTTCATAGATTACAATAATTAATATGCAACATTTCATACATTACAATAATTAGTATGCAGATTACACTAATTACTGTGCAATATTTCGCAGATTACAATAATTAATATGCAATTTTTCATAGATTACAATAATTTTTATGCAACATTTCATAGATTACAATAAATACTATGCGAACGTTCATATATTACAATAATTATTATGCAATGTTTTGTAGATTACAATAATTACTATGCAACATTTTGATGAGGATAAATATGTCATCTATGTTTGAAAGATAAAATTTTCTTTCCTACAATACAAAGTGTACAATCTAGGCCTGAAATGTTATATGAACTATTAATTAGATATTTATTAACATAAAAAGAACTTAATCAACTCTTGATTCCATCTAAACTCTCGATCTGCAGCTCAATGCTCATTGAGGATTAAATCCAAAAATGGATAATCAAGACTATGCTTTTGTATTGTACCGACTTTAGTAATGACGATTGAGGCTAGTTTTTAACTATTATAGTGAGAATTGACAGCTCTTTATCTAATCTCCCATAATGTATCTTTAATAAATAGGTAGTTAGAAGTTAGTAGAATTACTGATATTAGTGGTTGATAATGTCAATGAGAGTATTGTTTCTAGCAAGAGTCGTGTATGTGTGTGTGGTGTAACCATGGGCTATGTTTATAGATGTTATTTTATCATTCCATCTCTAGTCTGTACAGACTGAATATAACCCACGAGTTTGTACAGACTGAATGTACTAGATGACTGCCCCTTTAAATGATAATAATCCAGAGTGTGAAAGGAACGTGTCTTGAACTCTCCCTTTATATTCTTCATACAAATATCATATTGTTTTTTGTCAGAAGATGAAGGAAATATTAACCCATATGCCACTTTCAACGAGCTCAAGGCTGTCGTCAATACAGGAAAACGACAGGAACTCATGCAGAAATCTTCAGAATCTGAGGATGAAATAGCCTTACAAAAAGCAGCAAATCAAAGAGAGGTATGTAAATAACAGGTGTAATAAATAGTGATTGTTATAGTCAAATTAGAAAGAGATAGAGAGTGGGGGAATGAGACAGGGGGAGGGAGAGAGAGAGCGGGGAAATGAGAGAGAGAGAGAGAGAGAGGGAAAAGGGGAGGCAGAGAGAGGGAAAGGGAGAGAGAGAAAGGAGAAAAGAGAGGAGACAGGTCATTGGAGACATGCCAACTACAAGAGGGAGATGAGAGAAAGAGTACAAGTTGCAGTTTTGGCTTCTGAACTATGTTACTAATGGCTTCGGTTAGCTATATGTATTATATAAGACAGGATATGTTTAAACTTTCTAGAACATCTGATACCACTTCTCAATTATTGGGCATTTAACGATATTAATACTTTAATCACAAAGAAACATGAATTAAACGTAAAATTCTTGATTTTGATATTTTTCAGGGATTAATGTCCACTCCCTCGGAACCATATGTACCGTTCTTTCATTCGAAGGGTGCCGGGGGAACAGTCCCTCGGAAGCCTCCACCTTTACCTAAAACCCGCCCACCTCGTCGTACAACCAGACACGATGAAGTTAAAAAAGAGGGCTACGATAATCATGGTAAGAATTATAAAATTTCATTATCTAATAGACATACAGAACATCTCTTCAACACATGAAGAATGGGGAATTTTGTCCAGACAGTGGCATTTCAGCATTTCCTTCTTCAAATTTCAACTGTCAAGGGTTCTTTTACTTGTACACCAATAAATATATAAGTAGTGTGTACATGTGTGGACTGCATTTTTTGTCCCATCTGAACAACTAGACTTACATTTCATGTTAGCCCCACAGGCACTACTCCCTGACAGTTGAAAACAGGGCTGGAAAAATCTTGATGGTTCTTCTTGGTTCACACTGGGATTTGTGACCTTGACAACAAGTCGTAGACTGAACAAACAATATAGGAATACAGTAGAGACCATACAAATACCCTCAGAGTAAATATAACAAAAAGATGGAAAACACAGAATATTGTATTTTGCGAAACTGTTCTGTTGTCCGGGATGGGACCTGATGGTCTAAACCTAAGCATTGCTGATCCTTGGTATTGTATATCATGTAGGCTTGTTGTAAGGTTACCTGCCTTACAGGTTTGTTTCTTTATCTAATATTCAAGGCTAGCATTAAACAGATTTTACAACAATTGTATTACCTCTACAAAAGCTAGCTGAGAGTAAATAATATGCAATCATTGGTGCTTCTTTGTCAGTCAAACCGCAAAAAGGTGTTTTTTGAAGGCAACATATATAATTACATTTTTGATATTATTATATTAAAGTACAAATTTATCAATTGACTTAGAGATTATAATACTAGAATACTTGGTATGGATACAATTCAACAATATTTCCCAAATCATTATCAGTTAAATGCTTGACTTATACATATATATTGTTATAAATCTGCACTGAAATCCAGGCCTAATGTGTTCTTATACAAATTCAAATATCGTCAATCTAAAGCAAGTAACACATTTGACAGAAATTTAATTGAAGCCTCAGTTATAACCTCTCTTTTAATTTATTATAACTCCTTTGTCTCTGTTAATTAAAGCCTCAATTAAACCTCTCTGTTAATTTATTATAACTCATGTGTCTCTGTTAATTAAAGCCTCAATTAAACCTCTGTTAATTTATTATAACTCATGTGTCTCTGTTAATTAAAGCCTCAATTAAACCTCTCTGTTAATTTATTATAACTCATGTGTCTCTGTTAATTAAAGCCTCAATTAAACCTCTCTGTTAATTTATTATAACTCATGTGTCTCTGTTAATTTAGGTGTGATTTTAAGCCCCAGGAAATATGCCAGCGCCGATCAAATACATGCTTTATTTACACAAGGTCCACCAAGGCCACCTAGTGGTCATAAATCTGGCTCTGGCTCAAGTGACAAAGGTAGGTAACTCTAGTAACATAAATCTAGGTATTCAAGTTTCTTTCATAATCTATCTTAAGGCCTGTCATTGAGTCAACTGGCGTGGTTTCGAATCCCCATTTGTACATGGCAAAGAGTAGGGTCGCCTGTCCACCAATCTCGTGGGTTTTTTCCGGGTCCTCTGGTTTCCTCCCACTGCTAAAGACCCCTACGCGCAAGCAAATTATTGAAATAAAATTAAACCATATGTTAGTCCCGAAATGACCTAGTTTGTGTCGAGTGGACGTTAAACCCCATTTCTCTCTTTCTCGCTTCTTTCATAATCAGAATCATAAACAGTATTTCCTTGGTGTATTAGATGCACTATTTTCAAATTATTTTCTAGAAGGAGAGTGTCCTATACTTAATGTTAAACAAATCAGGTGTTTTCCCAGTCCGATACAAACTTTGGTGTCAAAGTTACCCCACCTATACTTAATGTTAAACAAATCAGGTGTTTTCCCAGTCCGATACAAACTTTGGTGTCAAAGTTACCCTAGTCTGGGTTTTACCCGGACCCATCCACGTATCGGCACCTTTACGTTTGTTATTTTATTTCCTTAATAGGTTCCCACTGTCGTGCGATGCTTTACGACAGGATTGTCCCTATTGAGTCCATGATCTGCTACATGCAGATGTTTTTCGGATACGTTTCGATACGATCAACACGATTACTACGACTGACCTCAATATATGATAAGAACTGATAGAATCTCCATGACTCCACGACTGAAACCACGATTTAAATCGAAGCACGAATCGTGATAGTTGGAACCTAGCATAAATAAAAATGAACGTGTTTGTATCTTTTCTTTTTAGGAAGCCAGAGACATAGTTTAATATCTAGTGTCACAACTGTTTCTTCGAGTCGAGATGAATTAATGGAGGCTCTCGAAAACGCTAAAAAGAATCCACCTCCACCTATTCTGTTTGAAAGTCAGAATGATGACTCATCTCAACCCACTGATAGTTCGATCGCCACAGAGCCTGGAATTCGTGAATTCACCCAATCCCCGCCCAAACCAAATGAACAGAGGGAAGCCTCATGTGAGGTTCCATCTTATGAGCAGCGTAAGTTGTGTATATGTATATTAATGATCTTAAAAAGCGTCACTAACAGTGGAGGAAGACAGGTGAGTCTCCAGATGGCTTCGGACTGTCAGTTTTTGAATGATTTACTGATCATTACTGTTTCTGAAATTAAATAAAATGGGGTTTATCATCCGAAACCTGCAAAACATTTAATAGTATTCATCACAATAGTCACATTACATCATTGCCAAGTCTGAGTGTTCTTTCTATGTTGACTCTGGGGCATTGGATGGCCGAATGGTTAGCGTGTGGGCGCTGTATCATAAGTTCTGTCATTGAGACAACTGGTATGATTTCGATTCCCCGGTTGTACGTGACAAGGAGTATGGTCGTCTGTAAAACCTTGTGGGTTTTCTCCGGGTCCTCTGGTTACCTCTCACTACTAAAGATCCCTACATGCAAGTCAATTATTGAAATTAAATTGAACCATATGTTGCAACATGATGTGTAGTTGATCATCCAATCCAAACAGCTAGATACTATTCCTTGCCAGGCCCTCCATCCCACACCACTAATAAGGCAAAGTGAGCCAGAACCTTACTCCCAGCTGAACCACTGTGGCTCATATTACTCTGACTCATTTGGTTTATATTGTGTTATAAACTCATGTTAGGTCATTTGTATCTACAGAACCATTTGCGTATTGAATCGGGAGACACTGAATCTTTTTTTATGTTTTTTTGGTATTTTTGTCGCTTCGGTAAGTAACCTGTCACTCTTAATTATCCATGTCACACATTATCACTAGATACACAAAAACTCTTCAATTGTTTTGGTCCTTATTCTGATATTGAATCAATACTGTGATATAAAGCAGTTTTATTTCTTCAATATCGGCAGGAATAAAAATATCAATTATTCATTTATCCTGTTGTTTTCTTGGTAAATATTGACCTGGTTATGAATCATATCGTAGTACCTGAATTTCATTATGTATCGTATTGTCACTGTAGTGGTAATACTCAGCACTAATTTTCATAGACTAAGCAGACAAAACTAGCATAACTTTTTTTAAGGGCTTTTGATAAATTAAAAATTTCCTTTCATTATCTAACAAATGTTTATGTTAGAATTATTGGCCATATTTTTTTGTAATTTCCAGACAGGCTTTTAATTAATATAAAACTTTTATTATTATTCATTTATCAAGCAAAGTTTTATTATGATGATGATTTAAAAAATTTCTTTTTTGATTTCCAGAAAAACGTAGAAGGCAGCATCGTAAAGAAATGGAGAGTGATACAACAGAATGCGAGGGAACTGAACTCGCAGATCATTCTCCACCCAGACGTACAATACGTGGCAGACGCAGCAAACAAAAACCACAAATTATATCAAAACGTTCACTTGGTACTACATTTATTCCTAGGTAGGTTTTTTTTTTTGACTATTCAGGGAAGGACGTAGCAGGAGCTTGCTAGTATGATAGACTCGGAGGCCCCTGTGATCTCACATGGTTCGGGAGTCCTTGTAATCTTGAATTTAAGTCGTCTTTGATGAATGGATAAGATTGTCACACTCTAAATCTGTGCATAAACTAGAAACATCAGGATGTAGCATCATTTACAGTCAGCCTTTGAACAAATTCCAAGGCCAGACTCAGGGGTCTCCGGTCTCCTGTTCAGCTGTGACTATTTTTGCATTTTATAATTTTAACAGCTCAAGTGTACCATTTATTGGGTATATGAATAGGATTTAACTCTCCACTCCAAACATTTGTTTATATCTTTCTGGCTGTGGATATTCCAAGCATCATCTAGAATAGCCATTGAACGATGCAGTTGTTTCTTAGCTACTAAATACTGTAATCTTGTTCTGTCAGTTACAATTCCAAATTTAACAATGAGTTGTTCTTGTCCTGTACTGGCTGAATATGATTTGACACTCGGCTCCAAACATTTGTTAACATCTTTCTGCTTGTGGACTTGGTTGATTGATACCTTGCTAATTGAAATCATTTGGATTCAAGTCCTTGGAAATCACAGTGGAATTCACTACCTGTATATCTCAAATCTGCCCCGTCATTAACAACATTTAAATCACGTTTAAAGACCTATCTGTTTGACAGTCCTCACAGATAAACTTTTTTTGTTAGCGCTTTGAACGGACATTTTATTCAGGAGTTTAGCACAATATAAGAATCATTATTATTATATTTTTTTTTTCCAGGGCTCATAGTCGCACTAGTACAACTAGTAGTGAAGAGGTCACATATACATTTGGTGGAAGAGAATCCCCAAGATCAAATAGTCCATCAGAGGCTTATCTCTCCTACCCGTGTGATAGTTACGGCTATACAGATACAGATTTAGGTAGTCGAAGGAGAGAACCAAAACCACGTGAGTCTGCTGAATAGCAATCTGATTATTACACAGATCATATTTCATTTTGTTTTTAAATAGTTCAAAATTTTGTTTTACTTATCTTTACTACACTAGGATCTGAAAGAGTTTGTTATATAACCTGCGTTCTGGGTGATGTGAGTGATTAGCCAATATGAAATGGTTCGTTGTAGCGAGTTCTTGGCGTGTGATGCATAGACCTATGGGTATCCTACTGGAAACATCAATGCTGATTGGTTAATCAAATGTCTGATTTCATAGGGTCAAAAGCCGCTCGTATGACTTCTCACGCGACCTCCCAGTACAAGTGGTCAGATCTTCATGTAGTAGAGGCCATCAAAAGTATAAAAAATCGAACGAGATATAAATCTGTATTTTAATCAGATTGGTTGAATAGCAATGAAATGAAATGAAATCGAGTTTAACGTCCTACTTTTCTGCTCCTACCCGGCTGATGAAGACGGGCATACGCCATGCAGTGTGTAATGGGGGAATTTTTGTCCAGACAACGGTGCTATGGCCTACTCTTATGTCGACTCCCAACTGCCAAGGGATATTTTACGTATATGAGAACATGTACATTACTATCCAATAAATACTTTTGTGGGAATGTATCTTAATGTGTAATATTTGTTTTGTAGGTGGACGTGGTACACCCCACGCTAAAACTAAGTATGATGTGAGTCTACAAACACCTGGTACAGATGAAAGTAAGCCGTTAGTACTTGCTCTCGCACAACCAGCGTTAACTAGTCCTGCTGAAGAAGATGAACACGTCAGCTTAATAGACAGGTATAAAAAAACAAACAGTTCGATTGGTTGTATATTTCTTGATTTACAGTAATGTCACGGTAACTTGTTATAATGGTTGGGGGGGGGGGAATGGCCGAATGGTTAGCGCGTGCTCGATGTATCATAAGGCTGGCATTGGGTAAACTGTCATTGAGTCAATCGGAGGGGGGGAGGAGGAGGATGGCTGAATGGTTAGTGTGCTTGCTGTATCAGGTCTGTCATTGAGTCAACTGGTGTGGCTTCGATTCCCCGTTTGAACGTGACAAGGAGTAGGGTCATCTCTCCAACCTCGTGGTCCTCCGCTTTCCCCCCACTGCTAAAGACCCCTACGTGCAAGCAAATTATTGAATTAAAATTGAACCAGATGTTAGTCCCGAATTGACCTAGTTTGTGTTGAGTGGACGTTAAACTTCATTTTTCTCTCTACATAATGGTGGCTAAAAAAAGAGAACGATGAGATGGGCATGTAGTCTCTACAATGGAGGTAGTAGCATGACATCACTTCCTATACTATAAATAGCATTATCACACGCGTATAGTATGATACATAACGTAACTGACAATTGGAATGTGATGAAGAGTAGACAGACACTTTGCTGTTTGGGTAAAGTTCTCCTTCCTAGCAGGGAGCCAAGGTGGTTCAGTGAGTAGGACGTTGGCTCGCTAACCTGGAGGTCACATGTTTGATCCCCGGGATTTGCCGGGGTGGTTTCCCTTTTGTCAGTGGTGTAGAACAGAGGGCCTGGCAATGGACAATGTATAGTCATTCGGATGGAATGAAAAACTGAGGTCTTGTGTACACATCGGCGTACACATAAAACAACCCTTGGCAGTTGGAATTCGAAATAAAGAGTAGGCCATAGTGCCGCTGTCCAGCAAAATTTCCCTCATACCACACTGCATGGCGTATGCCCATCTTCATTAGCCCAGTAGGAGCAGAACAGTAGGACGTTAAACCCCATTTCATTTCATTTCCTTCCTAGCATTGCAGCTTTAGACCAAATAATTGTGTGTTAGTCTCAAAATGACCAAAATATTGAGTTGAAAAGATGTTAAACCATATTCCTTATTTGTAGTATAGTTAATATTCATAGTTCTTACTGTCTCTATATTCAGTGGTTCATTAAACAGTGTTATTAAATTAGCTGTTTGGGTAAATGATTGTTGGTATTGGGGTAAATGTATTGTGGTGAATGATTGGCATCATGCTAAATAATTGGTATCGGGGCAAATGATTGATATCAGCCTAAATGTATTGGTATCCGTGTGAATGATTGGTATCGGGCTAAATGTATTGGTATCGGGGCTAATGATTGATATTGGGGTAAATGATTTAACTCATCCTGAATTGAATTTTTCCTGCTTTCAGACATTATCGACCTTTACCAGAAGAAGAAGGTTCGGAAAAAGACAAAGAAAGTCGTAAGAAAGATAAAGGCTACACCGAGGATTTTACCATAGTGTGAATATCGCGGGGGGGAAAAAACATTTTTATCTAATTGGTGCATAAACTTCTATTGTGGCATTTGCTAACTTTTTCAAAAAGTGTCATTTGTGTCACAATTATACCAATCTTTTTTGCGATACTTGCTATGATATTATACTGTGGCTTTTCTTAAGCATTTCAGCGTTGTTTTGTGTTCACTGGCAGCCCATATTTGGTATATGACATTACCATATCTAGTAAGTAAAACAGTGATTATATAATTAAGGCCTAGCGTCTCAGTACAACAAAGGAATAGCTACTCGTTAATAATACGATACCCAACAGTTAATAAGATCTTCAAAAACGGGAGTAAAAGTGCAATATGGAGGCATCACAAGTCGTATTCAGTATGTTTTATTCATGATACCTTACAGAGTATACACGATAAAAATATCAAAATTCCTTATTAAAGACTGGATCATAGCCTAGACACTCACAAATCTTTTTCATTGTGCCATATTCATACAAACTGATTTCATCTCTCATCATAAACTTCATGCTGTGGAAGCAAGTTTTCTTAATCCTCAAATAGTTAGAATAGATTTAACGTTTTAAAAATCGTTTTATTCTAACGTAAAACGTCTCATTTGTGAAAACAAATTAACTAATAGATCTGTGGAAGAAGAAAAAAATACTGCTTAAAATAAAACACATGCCAAAATTTCCCATTTTATAAAGGAAAATATTTTTTACTGTTTCTTAGTGATTGGTGACCGTGTGTGATGATAGCTTTTTTGTATTTGAAAGTATGGTTAGATTGCGCTGGTGTTGCGTTGTGTGTGGTATCGTCTGATTGTAAGGTGGTGTAATAAACACTACTCCGCTTTAAATATAGTGTCTTAAACTGTGTGCGTACGGATACGGAGGATGTAGGGGAGGCGTGGTTTTCGTAACCGTGCAACAACTGTGGGTAACGGAAGTGCAAAATAAAGCATCGACTCTTGGTGACAAATGTGGAGGGTATAGAAACAGCCAGACTCTTGCTTCAGACTTTTCGCCAGCCTGACATATGTAGGGATTTTACAGTTACTAAATTAAATGAACTATTTAGGAGTTTGATGTCAGTTCGAAGTAATGGGAATATAACCAATCATTCATGTCACTGTTCATCTGGCCGGATATTTATATCTGAAAATCTATATGACCACTTCGTCGTTTATTCTTTGTGTTTTTCAAACCATATCTTGATTATTTAACTTTTAATTAGGAAAACTAAATCATGTAGCATCAGACTTTTAGATACATGTACACTGGCTAATGGTATGAAAGCATTACATTTTGGTGTCAGAAATCATAGAAGAAAAAAACCATGAAAGAATTGTAAAGAAAACAAAATCAGATAGCATCAGAATGTTTAGATACACTGGCTAATGACATGAAAGTGTTACGTTAAGGCTGTAGGAGATATTGGTGTTGAGAAGTCATAAAAGAAAAATAAACGTGAAAGAATTCAGATTCTGCTTTGTTTTTTGAAAATGGAAACCGAAAGATGTGTCGTCGTTTGAAACACCAGCAAAACTTAACCCCAATATTTTAGATGTAGTAGAAATATGGAGTTTTTATTATTGTATGTTATTTGACTTAAAGTAGACTATATCATCGTTATTGTATGGTAATACTACAGGTGCAATGCACGTCAATGCAAAACTTTCAAACACAAACTTTTAGACTTTTTTTTTTCGTGTTGTTCTTTAATAACTAACATTTTAATTGTGCGTCTCTCGGATCATTGATGGTTTTTTGAATTGACTAAGAAGCGATATTATTTCATTGTATGGATCATCCGGATTTAGTTTGGATCTGGATTATTATACATGCATGTATTTGGGTCCGGATTGCCCATGTATGTGTTTTGGTTTAGATTACATGAACATGTATGTGGGTCCGGACTACCCGTACATGTATTTGAGTCCAGATTACTCGTACATGTGTTTTGGTCCGGATTACTCATACATTTGTTTGGGTCCGGATTACCCGTACATGTGTTTGGGTCTGGAATACTCATACATGTGTTTGGGTTCTTATTACACATAAATGCGAGTACATCCGGATTAACCATACATGTGTTTGGCTTCAAGTACACAGATCTGAAAAGAAGAATCTCATTTTTAAGGAGATGTCGTTATTTGCAAGATTGATATTTGTTATTTTGTATTTGAACTGATTGAGGATGAATATTAGGAAGTGAAATTTTGAAACAAGAGATGAACATTAATGGTTCTGATGATATCTTTGAGGATTATTCAAACCCTTTGAATCTACTTATTTTTGCAGCATTCCACAGGACATTTTGAGAATGTTAAACATTCCATGTTTTTATGATTTCTGTATTATTTTAAACTGAATGAGCAAACTTCGTAATGTTTATTTATTAGGGCAAATTCGATGCTGAAATGAAACCATTGTGTGACTTAGTGAAAAATATCGCATGAAATTAAATGTACACTGCCTGGCTGATCTTACGTCTGAGTAAACCTACATTAGTGTCTGGTCCATGAAGATGACGGACAGTCCGGCTTTGATGTCAATTTTGAAATTGAGTTGAAAGTTATTTATATATATACAATGGCAAAGGCAGCTGATTTAATTCTCTACCCATGTTCAATTTTCATATAGAATATAGTAGACGTAATAAGACAAAGGTCTTAAAATTAATAACAATTACTCAGGTATTTGGGCGATATTTCATGAAACTTGCTCGAAAACATAGAGAGATAACACTTCAAAACATCGTCCAAATAAATCAGTAATTGTTCTTCCATTAGTATGTGTAATAATTTATGGCTCTATCCAGTTATTAGATATTATACCAGTCCAAAATTACAGTTGTTTTAATTCACATATATTCCTATTAAAATATTCTTTTAACAGGGTTAGAGATTAAGAGTATTATGATCTTTTTTCGTAATTAAACTCATTATTTAACCTTAATTTTATAAGTTGACAGAGCTACCTTAAGTGATTAAGACAGACAGTTAATCGGCAAGTTATTGAGTGAAGTCTCTTAGAGGAATATGTGAATTAAAACAACGTAATTTTGGACTGGATAATACATCTAAGGCAGGGCTCTCATTTAACTTGTTTTTATCGGTCACAACTTGACTGTCATGGAAATGGATTGTAAAATTCAAAGAATTTAAATTTACATTTAAAACATACATTATGCATGTCAGAGCTAAATCTGCCTATTGCAGGTCTTTCTTTAGGCCTGAAATGTTATCTAAATTATTAATTAGACATTAATTAACTTATCCTGGCCATAATCAACTCTCGATGGCATCGGATTTCTCCGATATTAAATAGATTAGAACATTTCAGCTATTTTTTGATTTAAGCTAAAAATGGAGGAGCGAGACTTAGCTTCGAACAACCAGTAGGCTGGTTGAAATTATTGCACATGTCTTGTCAAACCTCCAAAGGCTTATATCTTCGCTCACAATAGAGTAATTTAAATGAAATTTTCAAATTATTCATTTTACATTATCTATTTCCGAACTATTATAGCAAGAATGGCTAGCTCTTTATCTAAATCTTACATAATGTATCTTTAATATTATAGTTTTTATGTGTAAAAATACATAAAGCTATATATTTAAAAATTGAGATAATGCTCAAAATTCTCTTTCTTTGAAAGCCCTGCTCAGGAGGATTAGATAATTAAATCTTCTTCTGAAAATAATACATCTATTACAGGCTATATTTTCATTTATGCCTTTTTATTGGCTGATTTTAGAAAGTAAAAGTAGAATTACGAATTGTTTCTATCTATATAAAGCCATGAAAAAGAGTCTGGATGAAGTCTAATTTCAGTATATTGTTTGTAAAAAAAACCGAATAATGTTTAGAGAAAAATACTTGTTATATAATTCACGACTAAATTAAAGTTGCAAAGGCATAATTATTGATAGCCTTAATTAAAGCCGCTGATCGCCATTTGCAAAACTTGGATTCAATTGGATTAAAAAGAGGCCCATCAAAAGATTTGTGATGGAGCTGGCTTTTTTAAACAGAGGAGGCTGAATGTGGCAAAATTTTAAATTTTATCTTTGTAAATGCTGCACGGAATTGCATGATTTTTGAACAGATATTTCTTTTAGAGATTTGACTGTCACCATATTGTTTAGTTTAAACAATATTTAATTCTTTTGAAAAGGATTGAACAACAAACAAGGCCTATATAAGTTCTTTCCAAGTTTGAAAGGGACTCAAAAGCCCTGAAATGACGTTTAGCGGCTCTAAATTTGTCCACTATAAACCCAACATGCATTGTGAAGGCAGCTGTACAGTAGAATTATACCTATGACATGGAGGTCAACCTTGTAAAGTTCTATTCCTTGATTATTATTATTATTATAGTATTTTTAGTTGTAACCAGTTTACGGTGCTCTTTTGGTATCAGTTCTTATTTGATTGTCATATCATACGATCGCTTGGAGGGGTTTTGGTATCAGTTCGTATTCGAGGGCCTGACAAGGACAGCTGTCTAGTTGTTCGGATGGGACACATTGGCAGTTGGAATTAGATATAAGAGTAGGCCATAGTGCCGCTGCCCAGGTAAAATTGCGCTCATAGCACACTGTATGGTGTATTTCCGTCTTCATTAGCCCAATCGGAACAGAACAGTAGGACGTTAAACCCCATTTCATTTTTTTATAAGAATAGGTAAGACCTACATGTAGGCTTACATATGTTCCAGGAGGTCTTTGTAGGGATATATACTAGTATGAAAGTGCTAAAGGGTTAAAAGATTTTTATGACATATTGAAACCAAAAAAGCACTGTAGAATATATTTTTTACTGATACTATTTATACTTGATCATCATGTCTCTTTTCACCTAACACACCATGTACTAGTCATACTTGATCATCATGCCGCTTTCACTCAACAACTAGATGACATGTACTAGTCATACCTACTTGATCATCATGCCTCTTTCACCCAACAACTACATCATGTACTCATCATACTTGATCATCATGTCTCTTTTAATCCAACAACTATAGACACATGCCTTTAAGTCAACAAGTAGACAGAACATTTTAGTCGTACTTGATCATCATGGCTCTTTTAACCCGACACAACATGTACTAGTCATACTTGATTATCATGCCTCTTATAGCCCAGTAACCCAGTATCATTAGGTTATCATCTTAAATCTACTTAATAATTTATAGAACATTGATTTTATATTGCCATCTTTATTAATCTAAGTTCATAAAATTAATAAAATAACTATAAAATCTTCAATTCATTCAACCATTAAGAAATAGTCTGTCACTAATGCTGTTACAATTTTGTATTGAAATTTTATTTCTAATTGATGTTTAACAACTCGTTATAGTATTGAAAAATTTTATACTGCCATCTTGGTCTGTCAGAGTTCTGAAAATAATAATAATTCACGTTTTTTTCTTAAATACTGCCCAGCATATTCAATGAAATTGTTATGAACCCCGATTTGCTATATTAGTTTGTAAAAGCAGTCTTTTAAAGTCAAACACTAGACTTGGTTTATTTTGTTAGGAAAACAAATCAAGAACATTCTGGTATCGATCCATTTGGTCTTTACAAAATTTAGCCCAGATTCAAATCCTGCATCATATACATATATAACACACTAGTCGTTATACATATATAGCACACTAGTCGTTATACATATATAGCACACTAGTCGTTATACATATATAACACACTAGTCGTTATACATATATAACACACTAGTCGTTATACATATATAACACACTAGTCGTTATAAGATCCTATTTTATATCATCTTCCCCCCCTCTCCCCCTCCCCCTGTTCCCGAACCTTTCGCATTTATAAATTTAGAATAAAACTGTTGATCTGTCCATACATTATGCTCTATTTGGCAGCCTGGTATCATCGTCGTTGTTCGATTGACAATATATGCTGTTTATTTGATCCTGTTCACAGGAACAATTCATGTTAAGAGCATAGAACAATTACATCAAGCCCCTTGTGATTCTGTTATACTTTTAAAAAGTTGGTTTTATTCTGATCATTCTGTAGTTTTATTATTAGAGACAATTTCTTCAACTGGACCCGAAACTAGCATAATCCCAATCAGCTGTTCTTGTAAACAGACTTCAAAAACTTTATCGATCAGCCCTGAAAGTCAATTAACTTTCAGGGCCCTTATTCACGAAAACTTAAACTAAGATAAAATCGAAATTTTAAGAAATACTGCAATTCGATTAGTTGACCAGTAAAATCAATTTGCATATATCCAATGAAGTTGCAGTATTTCTTAAAATTTTGATTTTATCTTAGTTTAAGTTTTCGTGAATAAGGGCCCTGTTTCATACTAAGCTCAATTTTTACTCAGTTCTCAATCTGATTAAAACACAGATCCTATTTCGTTTGGTTTTTTTATAGTTCAAAATTTGTTTTATTTGTCTTTACTACACTAGAATCTGGAAGAGTTGTTATATAACCTGTGGTCTGGATGTCGTTAGGGATTAGCCAATGAAACCATCTGTTACGGTGACTTCTTGAAGTGTGATGTACGGAACTGTGGGTAAACCACTAGAAACGTCAACGCTTGATTAATCAATGTCTGATGTCATAGGGTCAAAAGCCGTTCGTACAACCTCTGATGCGACCTTCCCGTACAACCGGTCAGATCTTCATGTTAAGTAAGGCCATCAAAAGTATAACGAAAAGGAAACAAAATATAGATCTGTATTTTAATCAGATGGAATGACATCTCATGGACACATACCTGGAAATATACCTGACACATACCTGACACATACCTGGAAATAAGTGTTTACCTGTACCTGACAAAATGGCAAGCACTATTGAGCTAATGTCTGAGTTAAAAAACACAGAAAAATACAAATCAGTGCTGGACAAAACGGTCTGGTCTAAATATTAAGGTCACCTGCAGACTTTGTCATCGTCATGAGATGTAAATAGGGTTAGGGCACATGATTGTTGCCGAGATTGTTGGTTAGGATAAGGGTTTGGGCAAGGGTTAGGGTTAGCGTTAGTTCTGTTTACATGACCTTGACAAAAAACGATCCTATTGTACCAGAATGTAGGCCTGTCAATGTCTGTCACAGGTGCCTTATTTCCAGGCTAGCATGGACAGGTAAATTGAGATATCATATACCAGAATAGAAAGTCTGCATTACAAATTTGAGGAAAAAATTGAACTGAGTAAGAAATACGTTTCTTTCTAGGTGAACTTTGTTACCTATTTACGTCAATCTTAGAAATAAAAGAAATTAATAACATTCCAATGAACATAATAATTATAATAATGAAATATTGTTGTATAATATCTTTATTGCTCTTTTTGATTAATTAATCAGGTAGTTGGTTTGATCATTTATGTTAATTAATTAGTTGATCAATCGGCTAATTAATAAACCAATTAGTTGATTAATTAGTTAACTTATTAGTTGACCAAATTGTTAATTGATTAGTTGATCAATTAATTAATTGATTAGTCAGTCGATTAGTCCGTTGATTAGTTGATTAAATACATTATTAATTAGTTGATCAAATTATTAATTAAGGAATCAATTAGTCAATTCATTAGTTGAATGATTCGTTAATAAATTAGTTAATTACCCATGTTTACATTTTATTACATCTAGGGTTTCACATCAATCAATCTGTTTACTTGTTATCCTTGATTAAATTAGCCTGGGATCTCCTGAAAACGTTACATTGTTACCCTGGATTTGATTTGATTGGGATTTCCTGAAAAACCTATCTTGTCAGAGAACTTAATAAAGTGCTAATAAGGGATGAACAAATTACGTTAAATTATACTTCTAGAACATCTGATACCACTGCTTATTTTGTTACATTTGATACAGTTTTATCAAGGACCTAGGTCTAGTATTCTTCAGTTTTCAGGAAATGTAGGTTTTCTTATTTAAGATGTGGTTCTGTTACGGAGATCTTCGAACTGTAAAAGAGGACCTATTTCAAACTTTTATTCAAGGACAGTGTGAGTAAATAAATTGACTGAGGTGTCTCCCAAGATAAAATTTATTATTAAACGGATTTAAATTAGTACTGTCTATATTGTCATGTGATCGTCATGTGATATTGTTATTATACTAGTTGGCTTAGTGTATATTATTTGTCAACTCGATTCTCGCCTAAAATGATATACATGTAGATGTTATTTAGTCTATGTTTATACATATATATATCTATATACTCCCTATACAAGGTAATTTACCAGATTCTTTAGATCATAAGGTCTGTCATTTAGTCTGAGTTGGGTGGCAGAGTGGTTACCGTGTCATTGAGTCGAGTGACAAGGAGTAGGGTCGCCTGTCCAACCTCATGGGTTTTCTCTGGATCCTCTGTTTTCCTCCCACTGCTAACACTGTAACCTGGGTATCATTTAATCTTGTGTATTTAGCACTAATTTCTCTTTCACGTTCATTCGATATCCAATCTTTGTTTAAAATCTCGTAAAACTTGTTTAAAATCATGTAATTTGTACTTGTGTCCAGTTTAAATTCTGATAACAAGTGTCCAGTTTACAAGCGTTCAATATCTCCAAATGGACACACATTATCAAAATTAATCAGTCAGCTTTAAACTGGACACAAGTACAAATTGGATGATTTGGGGTGATTTTAAATGATTTTTACGAATTTTTAAACAAAGATTTGATATTAAACGAATGTGAAAGAAATTAGTGCTATATACAAAAGATTTAAATGATACCCGGGTTATAGTGTAAAGACCCCTATGCGCAATCAAATTAATGAAATAAAATTGGACCATATGTTAGTCCCAAAATGACTAGTTTGTGTCAAGTTTACGTTGAACCCCATTTCTCTCTCTCTCTCTCTCTCTCTCTCTCTCTTTGAAAACAATTTCATTTTTAATTCCTTGGGAATCTTTGGCATCTTGGTCATTTGCCTTGTGGTCAGCTGTGAGAAATGACCTAGTTTGTGTCGAGTGGAGGTTAAACCCCATTTCTAACTCTCTCTCTCCCTCTAATTGTACCTGGAGGGTATATTACTGATCCCTACTGTTGTATATGAAATCTCTGTCATTTAGTCAGTGGCATATGGTTTCTTTCTTTCATTCCAAAGCTTGGGTGTGACAAGGCATAGAGTCACCTGCCCAACTATGTAGGTTTTCTGCGAGCCCTTCCCAGTTTCCTCACAATGCTTATGACCCTATGCGCAAGCAAACTATTGAAATAAAATTGTACCATATGTTAGTATGTTAGTCCTGGAATGACCTAGTTTGTGTCAAGTGGACATTAAACCCTGTTTCTTTGTCATTATACTGTCTTGTTAGGTTCAAACAACAATAGGAGCCACGGTGGCTAGGTGGTTGAGTGGCTAGGTGGTTGAGACGCTGGCTCGCTAGCCTGGAGGTCGGGTGGTTGAGACGCTGGCTCGCTAGCCTGGAGGTCGGGTGTTTGATCCCTGCATTGGCCGAGAAAGTTCATCTGGATTTTCCGACGTGGTTTCCCCTTGTCAGTGGTGCAGAACGGAGGGCCTGGCAAGGACAGCTGTCTAGTCCTTCGGATGAGATGAAAAACCGAGGTCCAGTGTATACATTGGAATGCACGTAAAAGATCCCTTGGTAGTTGGAATTTGATATAAGAGTAGGCGATAGTGCTGCTGCCCGGGCAAAATTTCCCTCATAGCACACTGTATGGCGTATGCCCGTATTCATTAGCCCAGTATAGGAGCAGAACAGTAGGACGTTAAACCCCATTTCATTTTCATTTCAAACAACAATAACCTCCTTGGCTTTCTCTTCATCAGTAAAACAAACTAAGTTCATTTTAACATCTTTCGTTTGACTCTGGATGTCACTTGATTTTTTATTTTTTTGAACAATATTCTAATCAGAAATTCACAAAGGGATTAAGGAAAAGGCATAGCCTATATTACCTCTCTCCTAGACCTCATTGTACTGCCCAGCTCCCAATACAGAACATAGCATGATGATCTTACTTCCCTTAAGAGATTCTTTATCATAGAATAACATCCTGTGAACCTTTGACAGTTGGAATTCGTCAAGACCCACTAAATGATTAAGGACAGCTGTCTAGTCATTCAGATGGGATGAAAAACCAAGGTCATGTGTACACATTGGCATGCACGTAAAAGATCCCCTGGCAGTTTCAAATCGATATAAGAGTAGTCTGTAGGGCCGCTATCTAGGCAAAATTTCCCACATTGTATGCCATATTCCCCGTCTTCATTAGCCCAGTTCGGAGCAGGAGCAGAACAGTAGGACGTTAAACCCCATTTCATTTCATTCCATTTTACATTTAATGATTGTTATCTGATTTTCTTCCAGGACTTAATTTAGTAATAGTAGAATGAATGTAATTTATTTCTCGACAGTTAATTGGCTTGTGTAGAGAGTATATAGTCATTAGCATTTATTATATTTTAAATTATTATTCAGTATCATTACTAATTCTTGTTGAGCATCTGAATCACTGAAATTCTTCTCTTGTTATTTTTTAATTAATTATTTTTTTAGGTGAACAATTTCTAAAATTTTAAGAACCAACCAAACAAAAAATGATTTATTTTTTTCTCTTGTGTTGGATTTTTTTTTAAAATAAAAAAACATCCAAAAAAATTAAAAACAAAACAAAAACTGATTTATTTCTTCTCTTTGTTTTTTAAGAATAAAAACCAAATTGTAAAGATCAAAAGAAACAGAAAGAAATTTGATACAACTTTTGAGAAGGCTATATTCTAAGGTATAAGGGAGGGAACTCTTACTGGATTATTATGTCTGTTAGCCTTATTTTAAATGAATTTGACTATTGTTATGTATTTAGATGCTCATCAAGAAGTGACAATAATTTCAATGCTCTGTAAAATGTGATTTTTGTATAAAACAAGCGATTATAATATTGGTGCACATCAAAATGAAAGATTACGTCATGCATCAACAAGTTCGAAAACGGGATATATTGCATGCTCTTCTTCAACCATTGTATGTATTGTACTGTAAATAGCCAAATATTCTTGCATATTAATTATCTCTCTTCTTGTGTAAACATGTATTGCAATGGTGGGCCACAATTAGTCTTGTTATAATCATCCTACAATCTTCCAGAGCGAAAGGACTGGATTATCGAGTCAAGTTGTGTATAAAACAATCTGGTTAAAACACAGATCATGTTTCGTTTCTTATATTTCAAAATTTTGTTTTATTTGTCTGTACTACACTAGAATCTGGAAGAGTTGTTATATAACCTGCGTTCTTACGGCGACTTCTTGGCGTGCGATGCATGCAACTGTGGGTAAATCACTAGAAACGTCAACGATGATTGATTAATCAATGTCTGACGTCATAGGGTCAAAAGCCGCTCATATGACCCCCTGACGCGACCTCCCAATACAACTGGTCAGATCTTAATGTGGTGTAGGCCATCGATAGTATAAAAACAAACGAAACAAAATATAGATTTGTATTTTAATCAGATTGTGCATAAAATGAGGAAGGTCACTTTTAATGTTATTCTCACTTTTAATAATAAATAAAGAAATGAATAGAATAATAGGTCTTCAACAACATCCATCTCTTTTAGTTTCATTACATTCAATCTTAGAGTTGTTTGCCTCAAAGCAGGATCATTTCAATTATGTTTTATTTTATATAATTTTGTTATTAATTAAGAATTCAATATTTATTATGCATTCAAATAAATCTAATGAAAAAAAATATTGATTTTATTTTTGGGGTGCATTTGCATAGAGTTTTATTCATATCAACTTATTTATTCGAGGTGGGTAAATGATAAGAGTTTAAAAACAGCTTAACATCATAAAACTTGGTGTCAGTAACTTCATAATTCATTCTTTATAATTGCAATGAATCATCTTTTTGGGTCACAATTTTAATAATTAAAAAAAAGAAAACTCTGGGGATTATGAATAAAATATTCACATGGAGAATATAAAGCTCATAATTAAAAAGCTAGTCAAAGTTATATATTGTAATATATGATTATGTTGCTTGGACAGTATTATGTCTTGTTTTATAGGCGTGTCATTAGGCCTACACAGTTGTCTCCCCTCTAATTTCTGATTTTGTGGGCTCCTTTTCTATATTATTATTATTATTATCTGTACCTTGAAGTCGTACATTATAAGAAGGTATTGAGAACGAAGTAACTGTATTTATTAATGTTCAAAGTGCAATGTATAAATTGTCATTTTTATACAATAAATATATATTAGAATTGGATGTGTGATTGTATTTTATATGATGTGGGGAGGAGGAGGGGGGCGAATGGTTAACACGTGTGTGTTGCATCATAAGGTCTGTTATTGAGTCAAGTGGCGTGGTTTCGATTCCCCGCTTGTACATGACGAGGAGTAGGGTCGCTTGTGTGTTTTCTCCGGATCCTCTGGTTTCCTCCCACTGCTAAAGACCCCTACGCATAAGCGAATTATTGAAATAAAATTGAACCATGTGTTAGTCCCAAAATGATCTAGTTAGTGTTGAGTGGATGTTAAACCCCCTTTTCACTCTGTCTTTTATATCATAGATGGTTGGGGCTGGATCCACACTTAATTATACTCCATCATTAGATCACCAGTACTATATATACTGCACTACTTATGCACAACAAATGCACTACAGTAAGAACACAAAGGAGCAAATATTGAGACCCCAAATGAAGTAACCTGTTTTCTACATCCCTAAACAAAACCTACCTCGCATGTACATGTAGATCAATCAAAAACAGTGTATGGTGACAACTGAAAACCCTCCCCCCCCCATTGGGACCCTAAATGAAGCATGCTGTTTTGCTTTCATTTGACAAATCGAACACAAGTGTAGTAAGTTTAAACATTACATCTCCTATACATTAAAGATGCATTACTCAACAGTTAAATTTGTCTAATGCAGATCTTTCTTTGGGCCTTACATGTTATATAAATTATTATTTAGACATTTTTTAACATGACAAGTCCATAATCATCTCTCTAGAACATCGGATGGCAATATTTAAATGGATTAGAACCCCCGCTAGATTTCAAAATTTAACGATAAAGGGGGGCGGGGAGAGGAAGGGGCTTACATTAAGAGAGGTGGGGTCAGGTCGTTCAAGACTAACATTATATGGTACAATTTTATTTTAATAATTTACTTGCACATATGGGTTTTTAAGATGTGGGAGGAAATTGGACTACCTGGAGAAAACCCGCATCGTTGGACAGACAACTCTACTCATTGTCACAAACAAGTGTCTGCATTGGCTGAGAAAGTTCATCAGGATTTTCCGACATGGTTTCCCCTTGTCAGTGGTGCAGGATGGAGGGCCTAACGAGGACAGCTGTCTAGTCATTTGGATGGGACGAGAAACTGAGGTCCTGTGTACATATTGGCGTGCACGTAAAAGATCCCTTGGCAGTTGGAACTTGATATAAGAGTAGGCCATAGTGCCGCTGCCAGGGCAAAATTTCCCTCATAGCAGACTGTATGGCATATGCCCGTCTTCATTAGCCCAGTTGGAGCAGAACAGTAGGATGTTAAACCCCATTTCATTTCTCTAAATAACTCATTCCTAAACTAATCACGGAAATCATAAGTTAATTTATACATGTAAATATAGACTTCGATCCATCAAATAACTAATGTAAATACATTATCCTAGTCAAAAATGTCTGGATCCTTGACTCAAGGAATGATCATTCCCAGAAGCAATCATATCCAACACCACCTTTCCCATACCCTGGTATAATTTTATTTCAGACTGCTTGTGTGACGATTTCCCTGCCTGGCTTCCATAGACAATAATTGTGTTTGTAGTCTTTTAACTCATTTATAGCAGTAATAGAAAATCTTCAAAACATTCTAAAATGAGATACCGGTAAATCATTTTATGTACGTGGAATCGAAATCATTAAAATTCGAAGTAAATAATTTTAAAGTTTATAAATTACAAAAGAGGGCAGCAAGAGCTATTCTTGATGCACCGATTGAAACTCCGTCCACCTCTTTATTTACTAAACTCGGTTGGCTTACCCTTACACAGAGGATTCTTTACAATAAAATTGTCTTATCATTCAAAATTATTACATTTAATACTCCACTTTATCTAAATTTCTATTTTATTGAAAAATCTCTTGTTTCCAAAACGGATATCTTGCTCCGTTCACAGACCAGTAAATCTCTTTTTCTTCAAAAATGCAAAACGGAATCCATGAAACGTACTTTTCATTATTCTGCATGTCTTTTATGGAACAATCTGCCTTTTGATATAAAGATGTGTAAAAATGTTGAAAATTTTAAGATTAAACTGAAAACTCATTTATTTTGCACACTGAAGGAACCATAATATTCAACTGATGACATACTTATTATTTTTAACTGCAACTGCATTCTATTTTATTTTGTGTGTAATTATAGTGTTCTTCCTATATTCTACTTGTATAATGTATATGTTTTGTAGTTTGGGAGTGACTTAAATCAAACTTCCCACTTTAAAATGCTATTGCATTTCTAATGATTTTAAATTTATCCTGATATTACATGTATATATGTCTTTGTAGTTTAGGAGGGACCTATGGAAGATTAGTTTGTTTTTTTTTTGCAAACTAAATACGTTGCCTCATTAAATAAAGTTTTTATTATTATTATTATTATTATTATAAATCTTGTTACGGGCTGCTTTACAATACTGGTAATATTTTGTCCCCATTGGGCATCCATATCCGCAAAAAAATATAAAATAGAGTTACCTCCCATTATTAATTTTCCAAGATGTCGGACGACGAGAGGACATTATTTGTCGCCGGTTTTAATGATGATCGTGTCACTGAAGAGATCTTATACGAACTCTTTTTACAGGTATAAAAGAATTATTGGCTACCGAACTTTTAAACTGTACATGTATTTTTATGATTCCTGCAGGAATTTTGGCAAATTTTCACAAATTTTTACCAGGTCACGAGGACCATTAATTTTGAAATGGAGAAATGTATGTTGGAACTGCAAATCGTTCACTCGCCTGGTAGCGTGATTTACCCAATCCACCAATATTAATTATAACTAAAATTTGTTTTGAGGGGGTAAAATTGGTCTGACAATAGAACTAGCAGAATTATATTTAATATTTGATTTCGCTTAATGGGGTGTTTGTTTTGATTCCAGTTTTTTTAATGACTTCCTGAACTTTCTAGAAATTTAACTCTCTCCCCTCTCTTTCTCTCTCTCTCTCTGACTCTCTCTCTCTAGTGGTATCTCAAAGAAGAGGTGCATGTACATGTGTAAGCTTGGAAGAGCAGCATGATTTACCGAAAATGTGATTTTAAAGTAGCAAAGTCTTTAACTCAATGTCATCCAAAGTTTTTGACATTGAATGAAATCACAAATATTTTTCCATGTGATCAAGAAATAACATGTACAATGGCTCCCTCACTTAAGCTGGCAGATAACAGTCGGGTGGGGGGGGGGGGAGAGCAGGTCGTTTCATCCCACTACCAGTTCATCCCGGGCTGTTTCATCCCAAATTTACATGGGTCCTTTCATCCCACTTATATCGGGTCCTTTCATCCCACAAATTTAAAAACCGGTATTATATGATTTTTTAATATTTTATTTATACATTAATACCAATAATAATATGTCAATGCAATTTTATCATGAATAATGTCCAACTCCTTCTTTTGCATACGCCTTAGCTTATTTTCCGAATATTTTATTTATACAATGTCAATGCAATTTTAACATGAATAGTGTCCAACTTCTTCCTTTGCATACACATTAGTTTATTTTCTGAATCCACACCACTTCTCGACATCAATTTCACTAAAATTACATCGCTTACAATCAGGCGATGCTTATAGCAAAACACTCAACTTGTAATACACTGTATAGTCATTTTCATGCATAACAGGATTGCCAGTGATAGAACAGTCTATCAAAGAATAAAATTGCACATAGTCACGATTTCGACACATGTTATCTTTAGATGTTCAGACTACTTGGCGTCTCAAATAACCCAACGTTAAAAGAAACCAGGCAGTGTTCCATTGGTTTACGATTTATTTTATAATTTATCACACAGTTTAGACCACAATGTGTTACGATTCGCATTTTGGTATTCTAAATGAATTCTTATTCGGAATTCTTATATTTGGAGTTGTTTAGTTTCATTTCGTGTACGGAAATTAAATCAACGATCAGTTTTAAAATTAATTATGGTTTCGAAATAATATCAATCTAATTTGTCTTATTTAAAAGGGGCTCCTGCGCAATTTAGTTGATTATTTGGTAATACGTAGAGTCCATGCCCATGATGTATTTTGGCGAGTGATTAAGCTGTCAATATGTAATTATAAAATACCTTTTTATAAAGAAGATAAATGATGTTAGACATCATAAACTAACAAACAATACGCGTATACTTTATTACAAAAACATCGGTGAACTAATCTAAAATCATAACGACAATCAACAAAAATCGACGAGTAAAACTTATTTATTCCATACATTATTGTTTATTTAACAATAAGTAAGTGTTTAACAGTTTATTTAACGATAAGTACAACTCAGTTTATTGACTGCTATTATAATAACAAGGGGGATGAAAAAGCCCGGGATGAAACAGCCCGTTAAAAAATTAGGTTGGGATGAAACAGCCCGGGGTGAAACGGTTGTGGGATGAACTGACCAGCATCCACAGTCGGGTTGCCAGTTAGTGATACCTTGACAATTTTGCCTAATGCTTGTCCCATGGGCATTTTCGGGTAATCCAGTATTTTTCTAGTAAGATTGGGTGTCTATACTTTCCATGTATACCAAATTTGACATACTTTTGTTGGAAATAACCACCCGATAAATACTTTTCTGGGAAAGTATCTTTAAAGGTTAGTCTGTAATAACGTGTGGACTGTTATAGCCAGTCAAGTCAGTAAATAACACTTTTTGATTTGCTTAACCAATAATATCTTTTACATAGAACAATAGTTTAGATCATGCTATAATGTTGTAAAATTTTAAATTTCAGGCAGGTCCGTTAGAAAAAGTAGTTATTCCTAAAGATAAACAAGGTGCTCCAAGAAGATTTGCGTTTGTGACATTTCAACACGCTGTTTCAGTTCAATATGCGAAGGAAGTCATGGACGGAATAAGATTATATGGTCGCACATTGAATTTACAGAATCGTGGTGGTGGGGGCAACGAGAGTCCACGAAACTCTCCTGCGTCTAGTCCACGCCATTTTAACCCCGATCCACAAAATTTACGTCCTCCTCCGAATTACAATCGTTCCAACACGTGGCATGGTAACGATTCTGATCGTAGTCCAAATCAGAGACCAAACAACTACTCTCCTCAATCAGACCTCACTAATCCTTATGCTCAAGGAAAAAATTACATGTCCATGGATGTATTACGTGGTCAAGTGCCTACGAACAATTTAAACATGCAATCCATGCAACCCAGAGAAAATGATTCGATCGATGCTCGTCGTCAAAGGATTTTACATCAGCAAGAAATGTCCATATCTATGCACAGTCAAGGTCATCACAGAAATCGATCTAATGATCGTTATATGAATCGATCAGATGATCGTGGTTATAACAATCACGATCGAAATAATCGTAATCGGAACACTCATCCGTATGGTGGTGATAAAAGGCGGCGACATTGATAAAATAACATTCTATTAAACATCTGTCACCGTTACAAACATGCCATTCTCCCTGTGTCAATACTTTCGTCATCTTATAGGGCTTTTATGATCACCAGTCAGATTAGGCTCTTGAAAAATATATTTTATTTGAATGGTGTCAATTCCCAAAATTTCAACTCTAAATCGTATTCGTGTGTGGGAACGTCATATTTAATATGAAGGGAATTATGTGTAATATTTTACCATATGATATAAGGCCCTACAAAAAAAGATGTCCTCGACATCATGGTTCTTAGACAATTCTTCTTAAGAATCTAAAGAACTTCGGAGCTTTTATTTGTTTTATAGGATCAGTATTGACTAAAAGACTACTCACATTTCAAGGTTCTCCATGTTAATGTAAATGATGCTCCTTTCATCCCCCATCTCCATTATTACTAAAATTTCAATCATTTCATTATGATTATTACATGTTGAATGTACTTAAATGATCTTTAAAATTATATGGGTTGAGTATCTGATATGTGAGTCTATGGAACACCTTCGACTGAAACATTTAATGGATTTACTTTGGAAAATCTGAAGTGCACTAAGGGATCATGCACTCTATGTAGCTTTTTTTATGTGAAACTGGAGTATCGAAGAACCGGACTGTTTTTCTTTATTCTACTTTTATCATTTACCATGTACAACGGTTTTAACATGTTTTTAACAATAGCAAGCTAGTTTTTACTTTACAGTCTCATTGACCATTTCCTAAAACTTCCTTGGCAGCAAATACTGAACAGTTTAAGCTTTTCTGGATGAGTCAAATTGAAAAATAAGAAAAATTAGAGTTTCATTTTGGAAAGAGATATGCTGATTTTATGAGAGTACTTTTTATTAAAATATTTCGTCCTCCAAGTCAGATGTCCATTTTGTTTTGATGTTGACGCTCTTGTGAACTAATTTTCCAATCAAATTACATGTAGGCTCTACCTATAATGTTTAGTGCGGCATTCATTTAGCAGGAGGTTGTGGGATAATAAACCCAAATTAGATTAAAATAGTAGTCTCCATGGAAACAAATCAAGTACACAAGGCATGCTCGATAAAATGTTTCCTTGTTCTTCTTTAAAGTAGTAACCTTTTAAAGTTAATATTTAAATAAAGTAGAACCAGTCAACCAAATTAGAATACTTTCCATAGAATATGAATAAGATGAATTTGAAATGTACACGTCTCGAAGTCAGCCAATTTTAAAAACTTTGGAAGTAGTGTTAATAGGCAATAAATACATGTAATAAGATCTCTGAATAAATTTGAAAACCTTCATCAAAAGCCATTGATCGCCATTTGCAAAACCGAAATATGTTCAATTTGGATTTTATAAGAGCCCATCAAAACAACTATCAGTGGCTCTGGCTTGTTTATATTGTATGCAGAGAATGCTGTAGGTGTCAATGTTTGACTTATTTAACACACTGTTGGTAGAAAATTATTTAGGTTACAATGCAAGCATACTCTGGGTTATCAAAATTACTGTTAAATGCACTAATCATTTGGATAGTCTTCATTTGCCACATAGCCTGTTGTCACAAAGACAACTTACTGGTCCCTTATGAATAATCAGCAAGCTTGTATACTCAGCCAAATTAAAAACTTGACACTCAGGATTTTTGGGACTAGATTTTTAATATTTGGTTTAAGGCAACTATTTTAGTGTTATGTTGTGCACAGACGACCTTGACATCAACAGAAAACAAGAATACGTCTCGCCGAAAGTCCTTGACATTGATAACGTTCGTGATGTCACAGTACCCCCCAAAATGAAATTCACAGACTTGGAGAAGAATCGGAATAAAGTGTTTAGTAACGGTTGTGGCCTCCTCTAGCGTCTCGTACTGCCACACAACGTCTTCTCATGGATCTCAGAACATTAGTAAACACTACCCGAGGAAGACGTCGCCACTGCTCCGCAAGAGCATGTTGAAGGTCCTGCAACGTCATTGGTGGATTCACTAGCTGACGAACACGTCGACCAGTTCGTCCCAGATGTGTCCAATAGGATTAAGTTCGGGGCTAAGCGACGGCCAATCCAGAACTTGGACACCGTTATTTCTTAAAAAATTGTGGGTAGCAATTGCTGTATGGGGTCGAGCATTGTCTTGTTGAAACGTTAGTCCAGGCCCATGTCTCTGCATAAACGGAAGAAGAACAGGTTGCAAAATCTGATCCCTGTACTGGACAGCATTTAAGTTCCCTTGGACAAAAACAAGAGGAGAACGTCCATGTGCACAAAAAGAACCCCAAACCATGACGCTGCCGCCACCAAATCGTTCAACTTCTCTGACACATACTTGAGCGTAACGTTCACCTCGTCTACGGTACACTCGGGCCCTGCCATCGGCAAATCTCAAAGTGAATCAAGATTCGTCACTAAAGACAACCGAATTCCACTGTCTTTGAGTAAATCTTATGTGTCTTGTGGCCCACACAAGTCGGTTACCGGTTACCGCGATGAAGAGGTGTCAATATTTTTCAATTATAGGACCTCCGAACTTGAAGACCAGCAGCCTGCAAGCGATTTCGAACAGTTTGTGCAGTTACCCTTCCACCAAACATCTGTTTCTAAGATGACAATCGTATTGCTTGATCTTCCTGGAGTGACGTCACACGTGGCGCTCACGCCCTTGGGCGGTCGGCAATAGTTCCAGTTTGAAGCACTCTCATTCTAAGATTAATTATTGTCTGGCGTGAACAATTAAAGGCTCTTGCTTCAGTGATCACAGACTGACCAGCATAGAGCCTACCTATAGCACGCAGACGTTCTACATTTGAAAGGCGCAGCATTTTCTAACAAAGATGAAAATAACAATTTTAATTTGTTTTTCCAGTTTAAGTTACGTGTGCGTGTTCAGTTTAAGCAAACTTGCATCGATTGGCCTCACGAGTTTGTGTTTGCACGTGTTTTTCAGGTTTTTCATCTTTATATGCTCAAAAGTCACGTGATCCACGTGACTTTACAATTTTATGAAATTAAAGGCTTCTTACTACTTACTATCGTTAGAAACACTTTAAAATTTATTTGACTTACTAGAAAAAAAATTTTTGTTGAAATTCATCAGTGTCAAGTTTTTAATTTGGCTGAGTATATATTTACAGAATTATCAAACTTACTGTTAAATTCAAATGTGCAAATTACTCTGTTCATGAACTAGGTGGTCGATTCTCCTCACTAAGGTACGACTGTTACAGATTGTAGCTGACACGTTAATGGACTTATTAATCAACAAGTAATAATTAACTTTTTGTAATTGAGATTGATTTATGATAGCATATTGGCTGGCTCATTGTTTTTACAAACATCAAGCGGCTGAAACTGTCAATCACCCAATTAAAATCCCTTTGTCCATGTAATGTGAATGTTAGAAGAAAAAGAAATGGAAACGAAATTGTAATCTAATATTAAAGCAAATTGACCTGTAATTTTAATTTATGAGTAATATTACGCCATGTCTTGTAGATTTTAAATAAAGTCCTGTAATTTCAAATCAATTTTTTCCTCATTTCAAAAGCGGGTGTCATATAAAGATATATTGGAATTTACGGCAGCTGTTATTAATTTCATTCACCTATTAAGGTTATGCACTTATTAAAAGCTTATTTTTATATTGAAAACAATAATAATTAATGTGTTCATTGTTATAACTATGAGCATTCTTTTTTGTTCTGGTCTTCAGATGAGGAAAAAAAATACCGAAGTTTGCAATGTGTTCAATAAACCCTAACAAATTGCATAGTGTGTCCATGGCTTAAGTAGTAGTAGTGAGATAGGTCACGGGTCATTTGTTCCAGTATTTAGATAGGTCGTAATTCGTTAGTTGTTGGAATATTGTCGTTTTAATACCAGTTATTGTCATTCGTTAAACATTGTATATAATATTTTATCTAGATTATTTTAAAATGAATAAAAATAATAAATAATTCATGTCATGAAAAAATTTAACAGGGGAGTTAATTCTTATTGTTACAACTTATTTAAAGACTTGATTAGTTGTGTATTTTCTTGGACAGTGATCCATTGATATGAAACAGGGTTTAATGTCCTACTTTTCTACACCTACCCGGCCATGCGCCATTAAATGTGCTATGAGTATTTCTTTAACTGGACACCCGTGTTTCTGACTACTTACTGGTTATTGAATTCTGAAAGACAGGACTAGAAAGGCAAGACTAGATACTTTGCCTTACCAGGGCCTCCATTGTGCATCTATGTAAATTAGCCATGTTCAGTTCACTACTCAAATAAATTTACACATATTTTGTTGTAATTAATGTCTTCTCAAGTTAAAGTCTATAGTGATTTCTTTTGTCATGTGGCATATTGGTTAGCCCATCGTGTCAATGGACAAAGAGAGAAATGGGGTTTAACGTCAACTCCAAACATATGGTTCAATTTTATTAATTCGCTAGTGCATAGGGGTCTTTAGCAGTGAGAGTAAACCAGAAAAAAACCAGTAGGTTAGACATGTGACCCTATTTCTTGTCACGTACATGTGGAGAATTGAAACCATGCCACTTGACTCAATGACAAACCTTATGATCTAAAGCGCATGCGTTAAACCATTTAGCCACCCAACCGCCCTTCGTGCTAAGGCCCACGTCAGACCAGTGTGGCGTTCTTACTGCGTTGCTGCGACAAGAAAATGCATAAGGTTGCCGGCGGTTCCCAAAAATTACAGACTTGAAAAAAAGTCGCATTCTCACAGCTTTCCAGGTCAGATTGCAGAACCTTGGCGTTTGTTTGAACATGCTCAAAACAAACGCCGCCGTGACTGGGCGACTATGGAGACCACATCCCGGTCTGACGAGGGGTATAATGGTACAAGGGTTGATATCACCACTCCTATCTCTGCTGTGAGAAAATTGCCTTTTTTATATACAGTCATATCACTCATATGTATACTATTCAAAAAAAGTAGGGGATATTTGATTTTTAAGTGTTATTAAAGTCACCTAATGAAACTGACGAAGAAACAAATGACAAAATGAAATGAAGTTCACATTCATCGATTTATTCCAAATGATCGTTAGACTAAGTAAGGCACAGACTGACCATTATAAGGGTAAAATGATACCCGGGGTCAAACAGCAAAGTTACCACAGCATCACAACCAAGTCAGTAACGGGTAAATCCTCCTCTGTTTGCCAAACAAGCATTGATCCGACGTGGCATACTCCTAATGAGACGTCTAAGGTCATTTTGGTCCAGATTGTCCCATTCCTGTTGCAACGCAGCAGCAAGTTCTTGGACATTGGCAGGACGTTGTTGACGTTGACGTAACCTCTGTCCAAGCATGTCCCAGACATGCTCGATGGGGGAGAGGTCGGGACTCAGTGCTGGCCAAGGTAATGTGGTGATGTTCTGTTGTTGGAGGTAACCTGTAACGATCCTGGCCCTGTGACATCTTGCGTTGTCATCCTGGAAGATGAAACGGCGGCCATGACGTCGTGCGAACGGCACAACATGGACTGCCAAGATGTTGTCCCGGTAGTACTGGCCTGTAACACGCCCTGCAACAACATGTAAAGCCGTTCTTCCAGCAACAGTGATGCCTCCCCACCCCATAACAGAACCACCCCCAAATCGATCATGTCTGATGACGTTAACGTCTTGGAAGCGCTCGTTTCGACGACGCCACACCCTCCTACGTCTGTCCAAAAAATCAACAGTGAACCTTGACTCATCTGAAAACATCACATTGCTCCAGCGTCGATTATCCCAGTGTTGACGATCCCTACACCAACGACGTCTTGCCTGAATGTGATGATCTCTCAAACAAGGGATCACGCGAGGACGTCGGGCGCGAAGGTGACCCCTATGCAGTCGATTCCGAATCGTCTGGCCACTCACTCTCACACCAGTGTCTGTTTGAAGACGAGCGCTGATCTGATTTGCTGTGATGACACGATTTCTCAAGGCCAAGGTACGGATAAATCGATCCTGGGCTTGAGTTGTCGCCCTTGGTCGACCTGAGCGTGGTCTGTCCTGTACAGATTGTGTATCACGGTATCTGGACCATAGCCTGCTTATGACAGACTAAGAAACATTCATCGTCCGCGCCACAACCGCCTGTGTTGTGCCGATCTGTAGCATGCCAAGGGCACGTAACCTTTCATTTTGGGTAAGCCGACGCATATCAAAATTTGTTTTCTGGTCACTAAAACAATTAAACTGATGTTTCCACCCTGGAATTCAATGCCACAATGACTGTAACATTCAAAGTCAGAGTCGTGCAAATCTTGGGTTGGACCCCCATGATGATCCCAAGCATCACCTGCATTCCATGCGGTAGCTATTGGTGCGTTTAGGCGTCACATGTAACTGGAAATGTTTCTTCTGTTAGGTTCTATAGTGACTTTTTTCGTAGTCATTTGCATATTTTAGTATTATGCCCCCAAAATCAAATATCCCCTACTTTTTTTGAATAGTATATATATTGCTGTCTGTTTGTCCACCGGTCTGTTGTCAACAATTGCTTGTGGACACTAGGGACTAAAGTTATCATCTGATTGGTTTGAAATTTATATAGTGTTTGAGTTCATCCTCGATCAGACAAGAACGCCTAATGTTTTCTGATAATTAACAGTTTGAAAGCACCTAAAATATCTTGGCAGTTATCTAAAATAAGGCCAACACAAGAACAAACTTCAGATTTTAAAGGGAACAGAGGAATCCTAAGATTTTGTTCTAGGAATGATTTCACTCTGTGATCTTGAATATAGTTTCAAAAATAAAACACCAACAACACTGTAACAAACCAACAATATTTTAAGTATTAAATACAGCCAAAAAAACCATTATTTTTATCTACACATTTGATGTACATTTATATACAAATATATATGATGAAAATATACAATGAGACTGATGACTAGAGATGTAACAAAATACTAAAACTTTGTTAAAACTTTTAAACCATGAATAGATGGATGGCAGGCAGAGAGATAAGGCTAAAGAAATACTAAAACTTTGTTAAAACTTTTAGACCATGGATGGATAGAGAGAAGTAAGTCATGAAATACTAAAACTTATAGACCAGTGATTTTCAACCTTTTTGTGCCAACAGCACACCTTGGCACACATGGGAAAAATAGCAGCACACCTGGCTAAATATATATGAAAATTATTGGAATTTTGCAAAATAAAACATGGTAATACAACCGTAGACAGAGACTAGTCAGAGACACATAGAATGACAAACTAAATAAAGAACAACACAGCTACGAACTTATCAGTAGACTCCAGTAAATACTCAGTTAGGATCACATGGTTTTTTGCATTTTCTTAGTGTGCCGTTCAAAATATCGCGACACACTTAGGAAGATCTCGAGGCACATCTGTGTGCCGCGGCACACTGGTTGAGGATCACTGGTATAGACCATAAATGGATGGATGGACAAAGAGGAAATATTAAAACTTTGTTAAAATGAAATGCTATTGAAATATTAAAACTTTGTTAAAACTTATAGACCATGAATGGATAGCATGAAAGAAATACTAAAACGTAATATAAAAATTTATAATCAATTTTTTCTTTGTTTATAACGTGACTAGTTCAACCAATAACAATTTCTAAAAAATGTGAGTAAAATCATAGGCCTAATATTTATGAAAATATATACATGTATTATTTCAGAATTTTTACTTCAGTGGTGTTTAGTCATTAAACTGGAAATACCCAGGACACAATTCTACTGAATACAATCAAGGGCAGATCTAGTGGGGGGCTTATCAGGATTTCTGACTAAAATGTACCATTATAATCCATTAATTTAGAACCAGATTCTTGTCTCAGATCAGTGGGAATGGCATTTCAGTGCTTCTAATTTTTAAAATTCTCCAGGGGAGGTCACCCAGACACCCCATTGTGTGCTTTGCTTGCAGCTTTATCTCCTATGCACACACATCCCTCCCCCTCCATCCAAAGTGTCTGGATCCACCCCTTATAATTACTGTTTATTATACTGGCTGATATAAGTGTATTTTACAGAACTGAGTCCTGTTTTTATGGGGTTTTTTAAAATTTCATCTGTCTGGGAAATGCATCTCAATTGGTAATTTCAAAAAATAAATTGTAAAATCTGAACTAATATTTGTTTCAACTTTACACAATAAAACTGTAAGACATCTATAGTTAAGTCTACTCGACACAATAATACTGTAAGACTTCTATTGTCAGACTACTTGACATGACACAAGTAGGGAATGTAACGCTTTGGCATAAGCTGAAAGATAAAAAGTTAAAACCAAATGAAATGAAAGGGGGTTTAACATCACAACTTTTCTGCTCCGACTGGGCTAATGAAGACAGGAATACGTCTACCATTCGAAATACTAAACAGCTGTCCTAGTCAGGACCTCCGTCCTGCACCACTGACAAGGGGAAACCATGCTGGAAAGTCCCGATGAGCTTTCTCGGCCATCACTGGGATTGAACCCGCGACCTCCAGGCTCCTGATTCAGTGGCTTACTCACTTAGCCACAAAGGAAAATCACTCGGAACTTGCTCTGACACCTGGGCCCTCTTGTTTAGTGAGCTAGGGCCTTACTGACAAAAATTAACACATGTAATTTATCAAACTGATAACCTTTATTTATACATGGCAAATTTCAGAAAATATTGTTGTGATGCTATTTGACACAAGGTACATCAGGTGACTGTCGACCATAAAAACAATAGATATACATTGTCCATCAATTTTACAGCACTGTCTTCTGAGAACACTTCCCGCCCCCCTCGTTGCTCTGAGCTAAATGCCCCCCCCAGTGACTGTCGACCATAAAAACAATAGATATACATTGTCCATCAATTTTACAGCACTGTCTTCTGAGAACACTTCCTGCCCCCCTCGTTGCTCTAAGCTACTTGCGGTCCTGAGGTACATAACAAAGTTTCTCAATGGTCTGAAGGTCAAAGTAGTTATTATCCATTGTGCCTTCAAGGTGCCTAGATAATCTACAGCCTGATATCACAACATCTTTTCTGAAATTCACTATTGATGTTATTGTGGGCTACTCCCCTTTATAACATGATTGTTGGCAAGGGATGTATTTTCCGAATTCAAACAACAAGGGTCATAACTATAGACGTATTGAACAGAAATTGCTGAAATTCAATAGGCTTCTTTGTTTCACTAAGTTAACTAATGCATATAAATTTCAGAAAGTTAAACAAGGACCATAACTCTTAGACGTAATAAATGGAAATTATTGAAATTAAATAGGCTTCTTCAGTCACTTATGTAAAATTAATTTTAAAACAATCGGATGATACCTTTCCGTGTTGAAAAATTGTGGATGACAGACGGACCGACAGAAGGACATGTGGGCGACAGAAGGACATGTGGGCATATAAAAATTGCTCCTACCTTTAGGATTTTTGTAGAAAACACAATTATTAGCACATGTGTCTGGATTAGTGTCCCAAGCAGTTTCAGCACAGCAACATAATGGGGGTAATATTATTCCTTTCTTCTCAATCTTACGACGCAAGTTATGCTGTAAGGCTTCTAAATATCTGGAAAATATAAAAATAAAACACAATTTTAAGAAAACCATGCCATAAAAAATTTCCCGAAGAACAGGATGAAAGCCTAGACCTACTGTTTAGCTAGTCAGTGTCTTACCATCCTTGGTATCCCCAGTGGTATAGTTCATTACTCCTAGAATAAAGAGAGAGAGAGAGAGAGAAATGGGGTTTAACGTGTACTCGACACAAACTAGGTCATTTCGGGACTAACACATGGTTCAATTTTATTTCAATAATTCGCTTGCGCGTAGAGGTCTTTAGCAGTGGGAGGAAACCGGAGGACCTGGAGAAAACCCACGAGGTTGGACAGGCAACCCTACTCCTTGTCACGTACAACCGGGGAATCGAAACCACGCCAGTCGACTCAATGACAGACTTTACGATACAGCGCGCGCACGCTAACCATTCAGCCATCCAACCCCCACTCCTAGAATAACCCCTGGGTCCATTCCCGGGGGAAACACACATTCAAATTATCCACCCTTGATAAATGAGCTATTTTCATTGGCCAATCAAAAAATTTGGGAGTGGGTGAAGGGAAGTAACGTGTATTTTATTGCAACTAAGATCGCCCAATCCGTGTTTCAAATTTGTCCAAATATTTTAGGACATCATTTTGTGTTCATGTCACTTCTTTGACATTAAATTTCTTGCAACCCATCTCATAATCGAGCATACAAACTGCTTTTTGTGGTGAATGTAAACCATATATTTCTATAACGTAAACAATGACACGCTAAGACTGGTGTGTAAACTGTTTTTTACTTGGTTCGTAGAATCAACCCACTATCAATGGCAGATAATTTGAATTCGTGAAAAGCCTGTGAATGGAACCAGGGGTCAGTGGAATAGAACGGAACGATACCACTGAGGATGGGGATATTGAGGATGGGGCCTTACTGCAGCATAGGGAGAAAGAGAGAAATTCGGTTTAACGTCCATTCAAAACAAACTAGGTCATTTTGGGACTAACAAGGTTCAACTTTATTTGAATAATCTGCTTGCACGTAGGGGTCTTTAGCAGTGGGAGGAAGCCACCCATCTCTTTGTCATTTATAACAACCAGGGAATTGAAACCATGCCAGTTGACTCAATGTCAGACTTTATGATAGAACGCACACACGCTAACCATTCGGCAATCCAGCCTCACATCACGTCAACAATACGACCACATCTGTCGGTAGTGTATGAAACATCGACTTATATATGTAAACAGATAAATAAATCTATTGGTTGGATAGGCGAATCGAACCATTCCAGTTGACTCAATGACAGACCTTATGATACAAGGCGCACATTTGGCCATCCACCTCCCCCCCCCCCCTCATGCAGCGTAGGGAAGGAATGGTGGAATGAAAAACCCATAATATTACAAGTCTCACCTTTCTGTTTCTTTTATTTTGCGTCTCTGTTGTTCATGTTGTTCTATCGTATCTTTAATCTGTGTCTCTTCAAGTCTGTCTCTTAACATCGTTTCAGCAGTTGTCTCCCCTGTTACAGGGTCTCTTGGTTCAACCAATCGTAGGGCCTGTTCTTCTTCTTCCTTTCGCTCTAACTCCTTTTCTTTCTTTAATCTACAAACAAAATAAAAAAAAAAACATTTTGTCACAAAATGAAAATTGCACTCAAATAAATGTGATTGAATCCAAGAGAGATTATTTGCTGATGACATTTTAGTTCTGTTTTCTTAATAAAATGCTAAGTTTCTAACTCAATATTTTCCATAATATTCTAAATTAAAAATACAAATTAGAATTCAATATTAGTCCATTTCAATCAATATTGATGTTGTTATCTTAAAGGGAATTGTAAAGGGAATTTGCTGAAAATTTCACCCAAATTGCTTCACTCTGAACCGAGAATTTAGCGATTGAATTTTTGGCCTAGCCTCGATCATCATTAATCAAGTCCGTATGATAAAAAACATAGTCTAGATTATCCATTTTTTGATTAATCATCAATAAGTGTTGAGCAGCAGATCAGATTCTTATCCAATAAATATCGCAGGCTAGCGATGACATCGAGAGTTAATTATGGTCTAAATAAGTTAATTAATGTCTAATTAATAATATAGATAACATTTCAGGCCTAAAGAAAGACCTGCAATTGGCAGATTTAGCTCTTGCATAATGTTTCTTTAAGGCATGCTTTTCGACTCAATTTCGTCTTTTTAAGGTTCCACAGAACAGAGTTAAATGCCCTTTAAACATCTTGGCTAGTGGAATGAAATGAACCTGAGCTGTAATATATTCTTACTGTACTTACAAGTGAATTTTCTTTTTATGTTCTCTTTTCCTGATATTCTCTTTAACCTGTTCTCTCTCGACATCCATAAACATCTTTCTATACATAGCTTGATGACATTTCTTCCTTCTCTTCTCCTCTTCTTTAATAACACCATTATATATACATGGTACTTTAACTGATGGTTTTACTCTAGATCTGTGAACTAAGATACAATAACACCATTATATATACAAGGTACTTTAATTTAGTTCTGTGATCTAAGATACAATAACACCATTATATATACATGGTACTTTAACTCTAGATCTGTGAACTAAGATACAATAACACCATTATATATACATGGTACTTAACTCTCGACCTGTAAACTAAGATACAATAATTTTGTAGGGCAAAATTTCCATCATAGCGCACTGTATGCCCTTCTTTGTTAGCCCAGTCAGAAAGGTAGGACATCAAAACCCTTTTCATTCATTTATTTGTTCATTCATTCATTCATTCATTCATTTGTTCACCCATTCCATTCACTTAAATCTTGTTATTGATCAAAAATCAATATGAATAACAAGCTAATAAAGATATAAACATGTTAGGAGACAAAAATCAATGAAAACTGGCTTTTAACTGCATACTAAACATAAATATATACATTTAACATATTGTAGGCCTTTATTCTGATTCATCATGTCGAATTTCTATATATCATCCATGGACAATCAACTGAACTAGTTCTATGTTCTATCTCATATTTTTCGGGTTCTGAGAAAATTGGTTTGAAGTTTTGTGGTTCGATATTTCTGTTACAGTTAGTGATTTTGGTCTGGTTATGTAACTAACATTGGTTAATTCCATTATCCATATAGAATCCTTAAAGATACATTATGGGAGATAAGATAAAGAGATGGCAGTTCTCGCTACAATAGTTAAAAACTAGATAGTGTAAAGGTAATTTGCTGAAAATTTCAGTCAAATTGATCCACTATGAGCCGAGAAAGAAGCTGGTGACATTTTTGCATAGTCTCAGTTATCATTACTAAAATCATTAATATAAACAGCATAGTCTCGATTATCCACTTTTTCTGATTTAATTATCTTTGGCTGTTAGCGGCATATAGGAATCTAATCCAGCCTACATCGAAGGCTAGCCTTGACATCGAGAGTTTATTATGGTCTGGATAAGTTAATTAATGTCTAATTGATAATTTAGATAACATTTCAGGCCTAAAGAAAGACTTGTAATAAGCAGATTTTGCTCTAGCATAATGCATGTTTAAGCTATGAACTTTTTTTCCCTCAGAAAGAGAATTTTTTTTGTTAGAACTAGTTAATTCTCTGGAGACGAAATTTTGCTTTACTAGTCATACTGAATAATTTCACAATTATGCAATGTTTTTAGGCAGAGAGAGAGAGAGTGAGAGAAATGGGGTTTAACATCCACTAGACACAACCTAGATCATTTTGGGACTTATATAGGGTTTAATTTTATTTCAATAATTCGCTTGCACATAGGTGTCTTTAGCAGTGGGAGGAAATTGGGGGACCCAGAGAAAACCCACGAGGTTGGACAGGCGACTCTACATAAATTGACTCACTGACAGACCTTATGATCTAAAGCACACAGCAAATGGAGGCCCCAGAGAAAAACAATGTTGGACAGGCAAACCTACTCTTTGTCAGGTACAAGTGTGAAATGGAAACCACGCCACTTGACTCAATGACAGACCTTATGACCTTGTGTGTTAAGCCAATTTCCTAACAGCCCCCCCCACCCCCTCCCCCACCCTTCATATTGAATTCAAACGAAAAAAGAATTACCTGGTTGTGTAAATGTATTTTCTATTTGATATTCAGGTGACGTTTTAAAATGGACTGATTTAATTTGTCTGGTTTCTATAACATCCTCCTGATCATCTCCATCTTGTAAATTCTCCTCCTCCCCCTCGTTAATCTCCTCATCCCAACCAATATCAGGTATCTGTCTGTGATCTTTTGTTAATATAGTCAGACCCAGTGTATCACGTAAAGGTCTTTGTGGAGATGGCTATATTAAAAACACAACAAACGATTATGTTTAGGTTTGAAAGGGATTCAATTAAATTCAATTATGGAATTCAATATCAAACGAAACCAAAAGCGCAAATTCTATTTAGAGTTTTAAAGAGTATCTTTTTAATCGAACTTTTTAATCAAATATACACCTGATTGAATACGGTTCTAGCTGGGTTTGTGTCAGACTTTTACCATGTGTACTAAATAATGTTCTCCGTTTTTTGTTTATGTCTATCTTTTATGGATTAATGTGTTGTGAGTGTTGTAATTTTTTTATTAGTTGTACTTATGTAAAGCACAAAAGAGCAGATTGCTGAGTTGAATTGTTGGCGCTATATAAATCAATTATTATTATTATTAATCCTTCTACTTGATTGTCCGTAATAAAAACTTTCTCTTCTTAAAGAGGCATTCTGTAAGATAAGATATAGAGCGGACAGTTCTCGCTATAATCGTTAAAAAAAATAGATAATGAAAACAGAATATGCTGAAAATTTCAGTCAAATTGCTTCACTCTGAACCGAGGTATTAGCAATTCAATTTTAGGAAATCTTAATTATCCATATTTACGTTAAATTATCCATGACAAAATGTATTTAAATCCAGTAAATATCTCAGGCTAACAATGGCATCGAGAGTTGATTGTTGTCTTGATAAGTGAATTAACGTTCAATTAATAATTTATATAACATTTCAGACCTAAAGAAAGATCTGCAATAGGCAGATTTAGCTCTTGCATAATGTATGTTTAACCTATTCAGCCCATAATCAACTCTTGATGTATTCATTTTTTGAAAAATAATTAAACATAGAAATGGATAATCGAGACTATGTTTTTTATGCTAGCAACTTTAGTAATGATGATCGAGGCCAGGCCGAAATTTCAATTGCTAAAATCTTGGTTCAGAGAGGATCAATTTGACTGAAATTTTCAGCAGATTCCCTTTACATTATCTAGTTTTTAATTATTATAGTGAGAACTGCCAGCTCTTTATCTAATCTCTTATAATGTATCTTTCAATTTTATTTCAATGTTTGATCCAGCTATATATTTTAAACAATAACATCTGTTTAAATTATTAATTGTTATGAATGAGGTTAAATCTTACATCTCTCGTTTTACGACGGGAACATCCTGTTATCTCATCTTCCTCCTCCAGCGTTTTTTTACCTCCTAATTTTCTTCTAGCTTCACTTGTAAACTGACGTATCTACAGTCAAATATAAAAATATTACACATACATAAGCTTGCAACATTGTTTTTCTATGGGGCCACAAGTTCTGTTGAACAAAGTCTAGTTGTTCGGATGATACAAAAAATATAGGTGGAAATCCTGTAATCTGGGTAAAATTTTCTCATAATTTACAGCACCACATATTAGATCACTCAGCCACCAAAACACCAGTTTGTTTAATGAAAAAAATTAAAAGAAATGGGGTTTAACGTCCTACTGTTCTGCTCCGACTGGGCTAATGAAGACGGGCATACGCAATACAGTGTGCTTTGAGGGGAATTTTGCCCATAGCCAACTGTATGACGTATGTCCATCTTCATTATTCCAGCCAGTTTAGAAAAGTAGGACTGTGTAAACCACATTTTATTTCATTTTACTGACAGTTGGAATTTGACATAAGAGTAGGCTGTAGTGTTACTGTCCGGCCAAAATTTACCTCATAACACACTGTATGCAGGGCTGCCGACAACCAGTTTCGCAGCGCAATTTGCGATACATATTTTGTCCGTTGCTAATCAAAAATTAAAATCTAACGTTTTTGATTCGCAGTAACTGCGAATCATTAATATGCCTGTCATTTTGGATATTGACACAAAGATTTATCCACATTTCTCAACACTTTCAACGTGTATAAAATATCAAATAAATTTTATAAACAAAACGGAATTCTCCGTGTGACATTTTCTTCTCGAACTATCCAGACTCAATTCATGATACTATATAATACAGGGACATAACTCTATGAATCGGGACTATTAAACCGGAAATAGGGAATCCAGTAGTACCACTCACGTTGCGAGACATGTCAATTTCGAGTAATTATATCAGTATTCAATTTGAAAAAAAATAAATTCAGTGTATCCCCCACGTATTGTAAATAAAATATAAAAAATAAATACGTGTAAACGTATTGTAAAGTGAGAAATCAAAGTAAGAATTCCCGTAAACTATTATTGTTTATATCGCGTGCGTCTAGTTAATCGAGATTATTCGTAAAATACTGCGTGCTTCCGATTGAACAAAAATAATAACACACGATAAAAAGCAGACGAAATTGTTTTCTAACGAAGAAATAAGAAGCCACTGCCAAGAATTGGCTTCAGACATAAGGCCTAACAAAAGTCTACATTCATTCAGAAATGTTCACAGCTAGCTGTAGAAGTGCTAAAATTCTAAAAAAATCTTAAGAATGAAATCTAATCATTTGCTATCAATTAAAATTAAAATAATCTTGTTATTTAGGTGTTTTATGTTGATTTGAAACTGAAAAACTGCTAATCAATTTTTAAATTTGCTAATCAAATTTGGCAAAATTGGACTTTTAGATTAGCAGTGCTGCTAATCATCTGTGAAAAATTACCGACAGCCCTGACTGTATGGCGTACTCCCGTCTTCATTAGCCTAGTTTGGAGCAGAACAGTAGGACGTTAAACCCCATTTCATTTAATTTGATTTTACTTGGAAATAAAAAGGGAGGTTATTGTGTAATTCTCACCTGATTAGTTTGATCTGTAAATATTAAATCTGTTAATTCATCATTTTTCTTTAATCTTGATGAACCTGTTAATATTATTCTGATTATAATCATTGTACAAACATTAGATCATCAGATCCAGAAAAATATAATTTTTCGCAGTGTTTCGTTTGATTATACCTAATCCCACTTAACACTGCTGAAAAGGAAACAAATTTCTATTCCAAATTAGGACTGGTCAATAGTCTGATTAACAATCAATAGCTAACTGCGTAACAATATCATTACGCTTCAAACAGAGATCGAAATTGAACCGAATATGATTACAAAACGTTACGTACTCATGACTCCAATTTTATTATGCCCAATTAACCAGAGCATAGCAGAATATTGTAGAAAAACTAATTGCGTGACAAACGAGGCTATCAAAACAAATAAAATGTAAACAATACTGTTTGGAGACGAACAACATTTTCACCGTTTTTAATACCTTAAATCACTGTCCAAAGTTTTAGGGAAGACCCCAGATTGATTGAAGGGCTGTCATGTTGCTGTACTTGGGATAGATTTGATTGAACGGGAAGAATAGACACACTCCCTCAAAACCACAAGTATCAGAAGCCAATCCAGCAATGGCCAGAGAGGGATTTCTCAGACCATTGCTTCAGGAATATACAAATTGCTGTGCATACAAAAGCTGCGCTGTCTGGTTGACTGACATTTTAATTTCTATATCAACGATTTACGTGGAAAAAAATAAGTAAACTGCTTCCATTTATTAAAGTTTGTCTCTGTTGTCCGCATGTATTTAATTATTATATATAACCTACCTTTTCTTGATTTATTACCACCGATGGCTTGTTGAATAGAATGGTCGTCATTTTTCCTGACGGAACAGTTGGTTTTTTTATTGCCTTTAACTGTTTTATTGCCCATTTGAACACTGTGTCTGAATATCAGTCTTTCTTCTTCTAGCTAAAACAGATCCATTTATAGGTAAATTCAATTTAAATTAATTCTTGAACTTATCATCAGGAAATGGAGGATCATCAAATTATTTGTCCATAATTAACATATATATGTTCAAGAATATCTGAACTCATATCCAAGAAAATATAACAGAGAGAGAGAGAGGGGTTAGGTTCAACATCCATTTGACACAAACTATGTCATTTCGGGACTAACATATGGTTCAGTTTTTAAAATTTCAACAATTCGCATGCGATGAGGGGGTCTTTAATAGTGGAAGCAAACCCACAAGGTTGGACAGGCGACCCTAATCCTTGTCACGTACAAGCAGGGAATCGAAACACCATCAGTTGACTCAATGACAGACCTCATAATCCAAGGTCCATGATTCCACGCATTAGCCATTTGGTCACTGAACCTCTTGTTTTCACAAACTGTGCCTACAAAGTCATGTACATGAAATGAAGTGGGATTTAACGTCCTTCTTTTCTGCATTAACTAGAATATTTAAAACAGGCTTATTCCACCTCATCTTTATTGAATTCCATTTGTCATGGGTTCTTTTACGTGCATACTAATGTGTAAATGGGACCTCAGTTTTTCTACAATCTAAACAACTAAACGCTGTTCCTTGGCAGACCCTCCGTCCTGAAAAACATGGGAAACCATGGTGTTGAGGGAGCCAGCCCACTGACAAGGGAAAAACCACAGTGTTTATTGAGCAATGCCTTACCCACTGACAAGGGGAAACCATGGTGTTTAGGGAGCCAGCGCCTTACCCACTGACAAGGAGAAAAAAACATGGTGTTCAGTGAGCCAGCAAATAATTGGGCAAATAATTTGACATGGGGAAACCATGGCGTTTAGTAAACCAGCAGTGCCTTACCAACTGACAAGGGGAAAACCACGGTGCTCAATGAGCCAGCGCTTTACCCATCAACAAAGGAAAAACCATGGTGTTTATTGAGAAACGCCTTACCCACTGACATGGGGAAAACCATGGCACTTAGTGAGCCAGTTCCTTACCCACTGATCTAACCGTGGCTGAAAAAGGGATACAAAATTTGACTACATCTGAAAAGTACTTACATCTTGGATATTTTGATCCATCTCTTGCTGTTTTCTTATTCGATCCATTGTCTTTACTCTACGCTTCACATCTTCGTGAAACTGTCGTATTCTCTTTTGTTTCTCACGCTGAATATTACTGATTCTTTCTTCTTCTTCTCTAGCTGATGCCTAAACAAAGTATTGATAATGCTTGTTAGTAGAACGTTTTACAAACTTATTCTCATTTGGTAATAGTTCATTTTTTGTAATAAGCACCTCTTCTCGGGAACAAACTACGGTACGGTACCTCAGAATATTCATCCTTGGCTTTATTTAAAGATACATTATGGGAGATTAGATAAAGAGCTGGCAGTTCTCACTGTAATAGTTAAAAACTAGATAATGTAAAGGCAATTTGTTGATAATTTCAGTCAAATTGATGCACACTAAACCGAGAATTTAGCGATTGAATTTTGGGCTTAGGACGTTATAAAACTCTTTTCATTTCATAATAATTAGCTTAGGCAACATAAAACTCATCAGAATATAATAGTTTCAATGGGCAATGGAAATGAATGCATACTCGAAACCCAAAAATCAATTCAAAGCCAAACTGCCTTTAAAAATAGATTTTATGTGACGAACAGTTCAGTTTTGGGATGCTAGGATATCATAGTTTTGATACCTATGGTATGTTTTTATATCAAAAATGTAGAATGGCGGCAGAGAGTGAGGCATGACTGCCATGGGGAAAACTTGTTTTGACTTGTTCGACAAGAAAAGAGACTTTTGTTTTGAGAGAAGAGACTTTTCAAACAGCACGTCATCTTACTATTGCATTCGGTTCTCTTGTGTATCCACCAACGGCTGCTGGCTGCACCCATGCGCCGACGGGTCGTATCTCAACATTTCTGTTTCCCATAATGTCAGAGCTAATGACAGGACGAGATATTTTCTTTAATCCCACCGGCAAACTGTCATATTTTAATTTCGACGCCATGTTTAAAACATAGACTTGATGAACCAGTGAGATTGAAGCAATATAATAGAGTCGACCCTAAGTCCAAAACAAATAGTCAGTCGAATAAACCGGTCGATGGCTTATTAAAATTTTGGAATCGTTTGTAATCTGTATAAGTTAAAGAAAAAACGCACTAATTCCAATATCTTTTATCATTGTTTTTGTTTATTTTTTACGTCCCCTTATGTTCAAATTTGATTGTTCAAATTAAAACTTTAAGGTGTTATCTTAGTTATTGCCACCGCGGCTTAATAAAGTCATGCTTGACTTTTTCCCTCATCCCCATATGCCCCCATCTTTTAAGTGCACGCCAATGTGTACACGGGACCTCGGTTTTTCGTCCCATCCGAACGACTAGACATCTGTCCTTGTCCACCTCCAAAAGAATAGAGTCCCTATATATGATATGTTGGGTTAGGGGGGCGATGGGGATGAGGTATTTGACATTATCATGTGGCCTCGTCCAGTCGATAAAATCAGTCAGTTAGTTCAGTCGAATAATCCAGTCGAATAAACCAGTCGAATAATTCAGTCGAAAAGTTCAGTCGAATAAACCAGTCGAATAGTTCAGTCGAATAATTCAGTCGAATAAACAAGTCGCTCAATATTAAGCAGCGGTGGCAGTGGGCTAAGATGATATGGTAGCAAATCATGCTCTTAGACATAGCTGAAGGAGCCGGGGCATGGGGTAGAGACCGGGGGGCTTCCCAACTAGTTTCAAGAAATGAAAAGAAATGAAATGGTGTTTTAACGTCCTACTGTTCTGCTTGGAACTGGGCTAATGAAGACGGGCATACGCCATACACTGTGCGATGAGGGAAATTTTGCCCGGACAGCGGCACTACGGCCTACTCTTATATCGAATTCCATCTGTCAAAGGGATCTTTTACGACCACGTCAATGTGGACACGGGACCTCGGTTTTTCGTCCCATCCGAACGACTAGACAGCTGTCCTTGTCCGCCTCGAAAAGAATAGAGTCCCTATATATGATATGAACGAAGAAAGGGGATGGGGTGGGGCGGGGGTGGGGGGGATGAGGTATTTGACATTTTCATGTGGCCTCGTCCAGTCGATAAAACCAGTCAGTTAGTTCAGTCGAATAATCCAGTCGAATAAACCAGTCGAATAATTCAGTCGAAAAGTTCAGTCGAATAAACCAGTCGAATAGTTCAGTCGAATAATTCAGTCGAATAAACAAGTCGCTCAATATTAAGCAGCGGTGGCAGCGGGCTAAGATAATATAGTAGCAAATCATGCTCGTAGCCATAGCTGAAGGAGCCGGGGGCATGGGGTAGGGACCGGGGGGCTTCCCAACTAGTTTCAAGAAATGAAAAGAAATGAAATGGGGTTTAACGTCCTTCTGTTCTGCTTGGAACTGGGCTAATGAAGACGGGCAGACGCCATACACTGTGCGATGAGGGAAATTTTGCCCGGACAGCGGCACTACGGCCTACTCTTATATCGAATTCCATCTGTCAAAGGGATCTTTTACGTCCACTCCAATGTAGACACGGGACCTCGGTTTTTCGTCCCATCCGAAAGACTAGACAGCTGTCCTTGTCCGCCTCGAAAAGAATAGAGTCCCTATATATGATATAAACGAAGAAAGGGGATGGGGTGGGGCGGGGGTGGGGGGGGGGATGAGGTATTTGACATTTTCATGTGGCCTCGTCCAGTCGATAAAACCAGTCAGTTAGTTCAGTCGAATAATCCAGTCGAATAAACCAGTCGAATAATTCAGTCGAAAAGTTCAGTCGAATAAACCAGTCGAATAGTTCAGTCGAATAATTCAGTCGAATAATCCAGTCGAATAATTCAGTCGAATAAACAAGTCGCTCAATATTAAGCAGCGGTGGCAGCGGGCTAAGATAATATAGTAGCAAATCATGCTCGTAGCCATAGCTGAAGGAGCCGGGGGCATGGGGTAGTGACCGGGGGGCTTCCCAACTAGTTTCAAGAAATGAAAAGAAATGAAATGCGGTTTTAACGTCCTACTGTTCCGCTTGGAACTGGGCTAATGAAGACGGGCAGACGCCATACACTGTGCGATGAGGGAAATTTTGCCCGGACAGCGGCACTACGGCCTACTCTTATATCGAATTCCATCTGTCAAAGGGATCTTTTACGTCCACTCCAATGTAGACACGGGACCTCGGTTTTTCGTCTCATCCGAAAGACTAGACAGCTGTCCTTGTCCGCCTCGAAAAGAATAGAGTCCCTATATATGATATAAACGAAGAAAGGGGGTGGGGTGGGGCGGGGGTGGGGGGGGATGAGGTATTTGACATTTTCATGTGGCCTCGTCCAGTCGATAAAATCAGTCAGTTAGTTCAGTCGAATAATCCAGTCGAATAAACCAGTCGAATAATTCAGTCGAAAAGTTCAGTCGAATAAACCAGTCGAATAGTTCAGTCGAATAATTCAGTCGAATAATCCAGTCGAATAATTCAGTCGAATAAACAAGTCGCTCAATATTAAGCAGCGGTGGCAGCGGGCTAAGATAATATAGTAGCAAATCATTCTCGTAGCCATAGCTGAAGGAGCCGGGGGCATGGGGTAGGGACCGGGGGGCTTCCCAACTAGTTTCAAGAAATGAAAAGAAATGAAATGGGGTTTAACGTCCTTCTGTTCTGCTTGGAACTGGGCTAATGAAGACGGGCAGACGCCATACACTGTGCGATGAGGGAAATTTTGCCCGGACAGCGGCACTACGGCCTACTCTTATATCGAATTCCATCTGTCAAAGGGATCTTTTACGTCCACTCCAATGTAGACACGGGACCTCGGTTTTTCGTCCCATCCGAAAGACTAGACAGCTGTCCTTGTCCGCCTCGAAAAGAATAGAGTCCCTATATATGATATAAACGAAGAAAGGGGGTGGGGTGGGGCGGGATTGGGGGGGGGGGATGAGGTATTTGACATTTTCATGTGGCCTCGTCCAGTCGATAAAACCAGTCAGTTAGTTCAGTCGAATAATCCAGTCGAATAAACCAGTCGAATAATTCAGTCGAAAAGTTCAGTCGAATAAACCAGTCGAATAGTTCAGTCGAATAATTCAGTCGAATAATTCAGTCGAATAAACAAGTCGCTCAATATTAAGCAGCGGTGGCAGCGGGCTAAGATAATATAGTAGCAAATCATGCTCGTAGCCATAGCTGAAGGAGCCGGGGGCATGGGGTAGTGACCGGGGGGCTTCCCAACTAGTTTCAAGAAATGAAAAGAAATGAAATGCGGTTTTAACGTCCTACTGTTCCGCTTGGAACTGGGCTAATGAAGACGGGCAGACGCCATACACTGTGCGATGAGGGAAATTTTGCCCGGACAGCGGCACTACGGCCTACTCTTATATCGAATTCCATCTGTCAAAGGGATCTTTTACATCCACTCCAATGTAGACACGGGACCTCGGTTTTTCGTCTCATCCGAAAGACTAGACAGCTGTCCTTGTCCGCCTCGAAAAGAATAGAGTCCCTATATATGATATAAACGAAGAAAGGGGGTGGGGTGGGGCGGGGATGAGGTATTTGACATTTTCATGTGGCCTCGTCCAGTCGATAAAACCAGTCAGTTAGTTCAGTCGAATAATCCAGTCGAATAAACCAGTCGAATAATTCAGTCGAAAAGTTCAGTCGAATAGTTCAGTCGAATAATTCAGTCGAATAATCCAGTCGAATAATTCAGTCGAATAAACAAGTCGCTCAATATTAAGCAGCGGTGGCAGCGGGCTAAGATAATATAGTAGCAAATCATGCTCGTAGCCATAGCTGAAGGAGCCGGGGGCATGGGGTAGGGACCGGGGGGCTTCCCAACTAGTTTCAAGAAATGAAAAGAAATGAAATGGTGTTTTAACGTCCTACTGTTCTGCTTGGAACTGGGCTAATGAAGACGGGCAGACGCCATACACTGTGCGATGAGGGAAATTTTGCCCGGACAGCGGCACTACGGCCTACTCTTATATCGAATTCCATCTGTCAAAGGGATCTTTTACGTCCACTCCAATGTAGACACGGGACCTCGGTTTTTCGTCTCATCCGAACGACCAGACAGCTGTCCTTGTCCGCCTCGAAAAGAATAGAGTCCCTATATATGATATGAACGAAGAAAGGGGGTGGGGTTGGGCGGGGGTTGGGGGGGGGATGAGGTATTTGACATTTTCATGTGGCCTCGTCCAGTCGATAAAACCAGTCAGTTAGTTCAGTCGAATAATCCAGTCGAATAAACCAGTCGAATAATTCAGTCGAAAAGTTCAGTCGAATAAACCAGTCGAATAGTTCAGTCGAATAAACCAGTCGAATAAACCAGTCGAATAGTTCAGTCGAATAATTCAGTCGAATAAACAAGTCGCTCAATATTAAGCAGCGGTGGCAGCGGGCTAAGATAATATAGTAGCAAATCATGCTCGTAGCCATAGCTGAAGGAGCCGGGGGCATGGGGTAGGGACCGGGGGGCTTCCCAACTAGTTTCAAGAAATGAAAAGAAATGAAACTCCATTACAGGATTTATATCGGGGTCCGATTTGTATTACATACATACGAAATATAATTTACTACATCATTCTACATAGTAATTCGTATGTGTTTGTCAAAAATCATATTGAAAAAAGTCTTTGAAAATGCTATAAAACAAATCAAAATCGATCAGTGTAATAATCGGTTACAGACAGACTTGGTTGACTATTCCGATGTGTCCACCACGACCTTATCACTTTCTATTGTATAATAACAAATTCAATCGTGACACAAACAGACGCGTATCTTCTTATGTTCAGAAACATCTTTTACATTTTGTATTCGGTGTTCTACTTTCTATAATATGACCAGTGTATTTTGTGATGCAAATTGATAATCTAAATATATACTATTCAAAAAAAGTAGGGGATATTTGATTTTGGGGGCATAATACTAAAATATGCAAATGACTACGAAAAAAGTCACTATAGAACCTAACAGAAGAAACATTTCCAGTTACATGTGACGCCCAAACGCACCAATAGCTACCGCATGGAAT